TGCAAGGAGTCGCGCGCCGGGCCCCCAAAGGTCCTCCTCGCGCACCGCGGCCGCATCCGCCACCAAACCGCGATAACCTCGTCCTACAGTCACGGCAAGCAAGCACATGTGAAGGCCGAATCCTCATCGCCGCCACTTCCATCAGACTCCCCCCTCCCCTCCCCCTCCCCCTCCAGAAACCCTCGTGCACGCCGCCCAACAAGGAGAGAGAGGGGCGGTTTCCCAAATCCGAAAGTCCAACGCGCGCATTGTAAACGTACGCAACCCCACGCAAACCCCTCGGGGTTCCGCGCACGCGAGAAGCCCACCAGGTCCAGACCACACCCGGGGCCCATCCACCGCCATCGCGGTACTCTGGACCATTCCATACTGCCGCCGTCTGCTGCTGCATGCATTGTCTTGGGCCGGATCGCGGCCCCATCGTGGTCGCGGCAAGGCGGTCAACAAAAACCGCACTCCCTCCCCCCCCCTCCCCCTCTCCACCACTCACAGCAGTCGGCCTCGTCCATTCCGAAGGCGTCCCTGCGGCCCCAACCTAACCACGAGGAGCCTCTGGGTAGGGTACGATGGTCGGGGGTGGGATGGATGGATCGGGATGATGGGACCATCTCACATGTTGTCGGACAGCTTACCCTGGTCTTTTCTTATGTTCTCTTCCGCGCTGGCGACCCGAGTAAGGGCCACGATCCAGCCATATCGCATGAGGCTACCCTCACTCCGTCCAGATCGTGACGACAGACTGGAGCACGCAGCATGAACGTGGGGATTGTATTTCATTACTCGGGCCGGCACCACCCCGGCAGCAAGGCACGCAAACATTCAAAAGGACGATCATCGCCAGGAACCCCATACATGCTCAAGGGAATGAAAACCTATTGAAGAGTATCTAGCGTTTGTTCTGCGCTAAACACACAACGACTGAAGATACATGGGCGTTCCCATGTGATTCAACTAATCCTGCCCCCAAGGAAAGGTTTCATTTTGTTTCTTTCCGTTCGAGACTAAACCTCCCCAACTTCCTCGTAGACATCGTGATCTCGCGTCACACTCCCTTCGTTTTCCCCCATCAATAACTGGTCTCGAGGTCGAAAGGAGAAAAGAAAGCATGTGCAAATCACTCAGCCCGCTGGCCAATGTTGTCCCCCAACTCCAGACCTCGTGCTGTGGCTGAGATCTTTTTTGTGTTTGTGTATACGCGATAGCAAGCCATGTGCCCCTCCCGACCACGCCGTCGCCGCCTCGCGGGAACGCAATCGTCGCGAGATTGACGCCCTTCCACGACGTCGAAAAGGGATGCATGTGAGATTTTTCTTTTTCGGTGGTTCCGCACTCCAGGAAGAAGTATTGTACAGTTAGAATAACAGGTGACAGACGACGCGAAGAGGATGTGGTGACGTGTGAGGGCGCGTGTCTGAGGGCGGAATGTCCTGGAGAGTGCACGTTCGTGACGGTAAAAGCTGCTTACACGTCCCACTCCTCTTCCTCGGTGCTGAGAGCGGAGAAGGATCCAAAGTTGGACTGGACAGGCTTCGCAGCCTTGCCGTTCGACGCGGGCTTCTGGACAGCCTGGGCGATGGGGCGAGACTGAGCAGGAGCGGCAGCCTTGGCGGGCTCGGGAGAAGGAGAGCGGTTCTCCTTCTTGGCCTTCTTCGACTTGGCCGGAACAGTGTTCCACTCGTCCTCCTCCTTGAGACGCTCAATCTGCTCCTCCTCCGAGGGAAGGGAGGAGATCCAGGTGTTGGTAGACTGAGCAGGGGCGGCGGCGGTGGTGCCGTTCTTGGCCGGGGCCTCGAAGGTGTCGAGAGGCTGAACGGCAGGGGAAGTGCCGTTTGTGGAGGCGCCATTGGGGGAGCCGGCAGTCCAAGCGGACTTGTTGCCGTTGACGGCAGCCATGAACTGAGAGCCATCCTTGGCGGGAATGCCGGCAGCCTCGCGGGCGGCACGGCGCTGCTTCTCGAGCTTGACCTTGCGCTCCTTCTCCTCCTCCTCGCGGGCAGCCTTCTTGGCCTCGGCCTTCTGGCGGTTCTGGCGCTGCTTCTTGGTCTCGGCCTTCTCAGGAACCTTCTGGTTCTTGGCCTTGGGCTTCTCCTTGTCGGTTCCGGTCAGGCGGAGAACGGAGGGTCCACCGGCAGAAGGTTCCAGCATGTCGCTGACGCCGCTAGGGTCGGCCGGCGTGACCTCGGGGGAGGCAGCAGAGGAGCTCTCTTCGGCATCCTCGTCGGCCTCGACGGCCTCGACGGCAGGGGCAGGAGCGGGAGCAGGCTCCTTCTCCTCAGCAACCTCGACAGGCTTCTTCTCGGCAGCACGGGACTGCTTAACCGACTTTGTCTTCTTCTTCGAGTCCCCAGAAGACTTGCCGTCGAACTTCTTGCCTTCCTTAACGCTGGCCATTCTCCTGGCGAACTCGGCGTTATCAGCGTCCTCCTTAGGGTCATTGCTCAGCCATGTGCTAGAAGAGGGCTCGACTGCGCTTGATGAGCCCTTGTCCTCAGTGGTAGACTTTTGTGCGCTCGAAGCAAAGGCGGCCTTTCGCTGCTTCTTTGCGTTGTTGTCCTTTCGGGGCTCGACATATGCCTTGGCCTGCTTAGCAATCTGCGCAGGCTTCTTCTTGTTGCTGTAGTGGTAGATGAAGCCACCGGCAATCATAAAGCAGACAAGGTAGCCGCCCACAGTCTGGGTGGTCAGGAAGTCGGAAGTCGTCATGGTGGCGGTTGTTGGCAGCGCAGAGCACTACGGGGGTAGGTATTAAGGGGTAGTGTTGATTAGGTGGTGTGGTGCAGTCGAAGACGGCAGCTTGTCGGATCCAATGCCGCAAGCCAAGGTGCCGTTGAGGGTCACAATTGTCTTTTTCGATGCCTCACTGATGGAGAAGATGTGGGGAGGTTCGGGAACCTGGTTGGCAGTCAAGTTAGCGATGGAGTTCAAGTTATGTTGAGCTCTGCACAGGAGGAGATGGTCCGAGGTACTTTGGCACTTGGGGCAGGTGCCGATCAGGGACATACAGCTGGAGAAGGGGTGCGCAAGGAAGATGTGGGCGCACGATTGATGGGTTATTTGGGGATGAAAGGGCAGGAGCGATGATGCTCGGGTGGAAGGTGAAGCAAAGGCAGGGAAAAAAAAGAGAAGAGGGAAGAAAGGCGATTGAGGAGGCGTTTCGACCACGCGATTGAAAGACGGGCTGGATGTCGTGTTCAGATGCAGGTAGCTTGGCAAGGAGAGACAGGCGGAAAAAAAGTTACCAGGTGGCTTCTCAGCAAATGTGCCTGCCAGTGGTCCAGATCCAGACCAGTAGCAATTGGGGGTTTGGCTCAGGTAGGGGAAGTGTCTGGGGGTCCGGTCCACGGATGCGAAGGCCGACCGACGCAAAGGAGCTGCTGCTGCTGCTGCTGCTGCACCACACGTCCGACGTGCATACGAACCCCAGGATGGGAATTGCGTATCGGGTCTGGTGTCCTCTTCGCCGCAGGTCCCCCCTCCAGGGATGTGTTTTTTTGGCTGGCTGAGCTTGGAGGCGAAGGGCGAGACGGGTGTGATGGGTGATGGGGGTGTGAATGATGCGTGTTGTAAGGTGGAAAGGATGGAGTTGGAAGAGCCTCCTAGACGCTATGAAACAATCCTGAGAGACAATTGCACTTACTGTTTGGCGTTCGTCGAGAGCGGTTTGCCGTTTACTCTCGAGCTGAGCTGAGATGGGAAGATGAGGTTGTCTCTCTCTAGGGTGTTGTTAGGTAATTTCCTGGATCACCATCAAAAGTGACAGCTTCACCTTTCCACGGGGTTAAAGGACCCGCCTTTTTTGGAGCCCCCAGCACGGACTCGGGGGAATGTAAGATTGGAGAAGGAGCGATCCAAACATGGTCACGTGCGAGCGCAGGATGCCAGGGAGCCGCGTCGAAGGACGCCAGTATCACGTGATTGGATTTTCCCCCCCTTCCCGATCGGTGCCCGCCACGTTGATTGGCCGATCGAGGTTGGTGGAGGCTGTTTGGGCAAACAAGCACCGACAGTAGTTGTCGGAGGTGTGCTGGCGCGAGCAAACGGGAGCCTCCCGGTTGAGTTGTCACGGCAAACAAAGGCCGATTTGCTGCCAAACAATGCAACTGTTTGAAGGTAAGGACTTGGAGTCTCATGAGAAGACCTGATTCAACGCTACGATTCAGAGTTTGAATAAACTGGTTTGCAAGCACGTTCACGTGTGTACTAGCTAGGTAGAATTGCGCCTGGCCCTTCCCTCTTTTTTTTACTTCCCGAGGCCTTGTTCCCGTGTCTCATCTAATGTTGAGAGGTCCAGAGAGTTGCAACTTGACGCATGTCAGATCGCTTTCCGCCCTCCTGATAAGAGCTGGAAAGGTCCCTCCCCCGATCCTGTCATTGGATCTGGGCTTTGTTCTCAGAGCGGCTTAGCGCCCTACTCTCCAGTGTTCGCACTTTGCACCCCCACCATCGACGTTAACGATGAGGGGTCGGCCGCTGGCAATCCTCTCTCAATGCGTCACCGACTCGCTACACTTTGCAACAAAGCCAAAATGGGAAGGCACTGAAGCGCAGGCAGCCTGGCGCCGACTTTGGCGATACGGAAACGATGGGGAACCGGTCACCTCCGTCAGCTTACCTCACGTGTCCGCCGAAGTCCGCTCCTGACTCACCAACTATGCTTTTCTATATCAGCACCGTGGGATCTGGACGGACTAAGAGCCCAGTTTTCCTCCAGGCTAACCTGGCATAGCCAATCCACTAAACGACGTAAAGAAAGCAGTCGAGAGAAGACGCGGGAAGAGGCCCTACTGGATCCCTGCTTCTGCCACAGCTTTAGGCTGTTTACAGCAGACACTTTACTACAAGTAGCTACCGTAAATAAACTGGACCCTGAGTCCGTCGATAACCTACGGTATCCCGGTGATAATTTAGACTTTGGTGGTTTCGGAGCGTTACCCTCTTTCTTTCACTCACAACGCACTCCTTTTGATCTGAGATACAGCATACTCCCAAACATCTCAGCCATGACTCCCAAGAATCGCGTCATCATTGATTCCGATCCTGGTGAGGCTCCTTTGGATACTCGACAACTCGCGGACTAGCCACTCATCATTCTGTGCAGGTATCGACGATGTCCTGGCCATGCTCTTGGCCCTTTCGGCCTCTCCCGAAGAGCTCGAGGTCATGATGATCTCTGTGACATACGGCAACGTGCCATTGCAGAGGTATGCACGTCACAACCCGTGAAATGTCTTTGCATACTGAATCTAACTCTACATAGCTGTCTACGCAACGTCGTTGCTCTCTTCCACGTTTTGGAGAAGGAGATTGCATGGCGCAAGGAGAACGGCAAGCCCGAGGGCTTTGAGGCGCTGAAGGCCTACAAGCCCATCGTGGCCGTTGGTGCCGAGCACCCCTTGGAAGACGACCAGCTGGCCGCCGACTACTTCCGTAAGACGCTCTCAGAAACCCGCAGTGCCGACACTGACCTGTTACAGACGGAATTGACGGCCTCCACGGCGTCCACGAGCAGCACCCTCACCTGACCCCGGATGATAGATGGAAATCACTCTTTCACACCGAGAAGAACCTTGATCATGACCCGTCTCCCTTCTCCAAGTACTTCACCCCAGCCAAGCAGGTCGCTCACAAGGAGATTCTCCGCATCCTCAAGGAAAACCCCCCCAACACGATTTCCATCTGCGTTGTTGGCCCGATGACCAACGTCGCTCTCGCTGCCGCCGAAGACCCCGAGACTTTCCTCCGTGTCAAGGAGCTTTGCGTCATGGGTGGTGCCGTCCATGTCGAGGGAAACATCACCCCAGTCGGTGAATTCAACACCTACGCCGACACCGTGGCGGCTGCCAGAGTCTTCGCTTTGACTTCCCCGACACCCCGTTCGACGATGCCACCCATCTCGGACAAGCAGTCGTCCCTTCCCCCTTACCCGGCTAAGCTGTCCAAGAGGCTCAAGCTGACGCTGTTCCCCCTCGACATCACTTCGCCTCACCTGCTCATGAAGAACTTCTTCACGGAGCGCATTGCGCCCATCGTGAAGGCCGGAAGCCCCCTCGGCCAATGGGTCAACCACTTCATGTCCAAGACCTTTGAGAAGGTCGAGTCCATGGAGGGCAACGGAGAGGAGCCCGGGCTCTCTCTGCACGACCCCCTGACCGTCTGGTATCTACTGACCCAGTCCGACCCCAAGTGGAAGCCCGTCGCGGAGCCGGAGGATATCCGTATCGAGACATCTGGCCAGTGGACACGCGGAATGCACGTCATCGACCGCAGAATCCGTGCCAAGTACACCGAGGCAGCCCTCGAAACCAACGAGTCCAACGATGGCGTCGACGTCCTGACACTGGCCGAGGTTCCTGGCGACAATGGCGGCTGGCTCAGCACCGGCAGGGGTAACAGAATCAACAGGATGCTCGAGTCTCCTGGTGAGGAGCTGTTTGCGCCGGATCTCATGAACAGGGTCTTTGGTTAAGACAAAACGAGCAACTCACGAATGACGCTGTGAGTGGGGCTTTTGTTCGCTCGTGTCAGCACAACAGTATTTAAGAGACTGGCAACGGAGGATTTTGGATAGAGGAAAGGCAGGCGCATACCCCGTAGGAACCCAATGTCATTCTCTACCAACCCAAACATATTTAACGCCGTTCTTTTGTGTGTGTGTGTGTGTGCTCTTGCGTGCATGCGTGCCCCGTGGCAGCAAAAGCTCATGTCTTCCCAACACTAGGGTATCCCGCTCGTAATAAAAAACACATCCGTGATGTACTCAAACAGTGCCACTCCATCCATAGACCGGTATCGCTGGCTGTTCATACGTGCTTGGTGCCTCCAATGGCGGAACCCTTGACCTCGGTCCAGTTGATGCTGTCGTCTAGTGCTTCATCTACCAGGCCGATTGTGCAGACGTTGTCGCCTCGGACAAGGTAGAGGCCGAGGGGGACTTGAACAGAGGGTTCTCCGCTCTCGGGGGTCTGGATCACTCGCTCTTGGGCATTGCTGAGGACCTGGGCGCGAATGTGTGTTAGATCGGAGCAGTCGCACGGGAAGGGGATTGTCTTGGGGTAGCTCACAAGGTTGGTGGACTGATCCGCGGCTTCCAAGGTGCCCACGAGGATTCTCGAGTCCGCCGTCACGATCAGGACTTTCTCTGAGAGCAAAATCGTCAGCGCACTGCAGGCAGGCGGCATTGGATGCCCAGATGGAACGTACTGTTGAGGTAGCCTCCGAGAGTCGCCATGGTTACGGCGGTCTGGCGAGAAGGATCCTTTGTGAGTGAGTTTGGAAGAAGCTCGAATGGAACAGACGTGTCACGCTCGAAGCCTCGTTCGCTTGGAATGTGCGGGATTGCTGCGTCCAGTGCTGTCGAATCGCTCGTATCGCAATGTTGAATCTGGAAGCTGGCTGGTGAAATTCGGAATTCTGAGTGGAGGGACCTTGGAGCTCCCGGGCTAAGCCGTTTTGGGCGGCGGTAAGCACGCCGTTGCGCCGTCCCGACCGTCAGCCAGAAGCTCGACCAGCACCTGGCCTGTGCGCTGGGACATCCGCCGTGTCCAAGACTCGGGGCCGTTGGCCATCCAATGTCACTATTCTATCCAGTCGATACCTTGGAGTTGACCTTAGCTTCGTTCTGACAACTCCCCAAGAGTGCTCAAAACCCAATGAGAAAACACCTTGCTATAACCATACCGTCGCTAATTTCTGTTTGAGTTTGATCCTTGCTACCTTGTTATGTGGCTCAGCATCACTCATCCCTCGCTCAACAGACATGAGCGCCCCGAGCTGCTTGGGTAATGATGCCGAGGAAATGCTCGTCGCCCAATCATCACAGGCGACTGCCAAGTCACCCAATATGGCAGGCAAGCCTCAGACCGTTCTAGCCAGGGATTTCGGTCTGGGATGTTGCATCCTCTGCTGTGCCGCACGACTTCTCCAGCCTGCCATACTGACTGGGCGACGACCCTCAGCGAGGCAACCGCTGCGCGCGCGACCAAGTGACGCATTCTTTCTACTCTAATAGCTTGCACCAGCCTTCTCGTCGTGAACTTGGGCACCGAAAATACTGAAGCGCAACCAGGTCGGCTTTAACTGTCCGAGAGATACAGGCCCTTATCTAGGATAGGATGCGTAGACATCAAAGCCTCACCCCGCAACATGAATGCGCCCATCGAAGACGACAGGTCTATCGCCGGCCCGAAATACATCTTTGAGCGACACGAAGAGAAGAAGATCAGACGCCGATTGCTGCAGAGCGCCTTCTTCTTTGATGTCCTCGCTGTAGCGCTCGTAATGTCGCTATGCATTGGCGGTTGGACGAGAAGCAACTCCGGCTGGTCGACCGGTACCATGAGCGAAGAATCGCACCTCGTCACAGTGAGTCAAGATCAACGTCTGCCCTTCTCTATAGGCACTGAGACGTGATCCAGTGGTCGGCGGCATACCGCCGGAATGCGACGGGACTCGAAAGGACCTTCGCCATGAGTTGGTTCCTCAGCAGCTGCTGCTATACGGAAGACACAAACGATGGGCTCGGGCAGGGAGGCTGCATTCACCGGATGCCCGGCAGCCCGTTTGATCTCGGCAGTATCATGGCCGATATCACAGCCAGGTTGACTGAGGCAGACAATCTGAACTACGATGGGGACGGAGCAGGCATGTTTGAGGGCCTGGAAAACATTGACTTGTCCTCCGCGACCACGATAACCGCATCACGCGACGCACTTGCTTCCTACGGCATCTTCTTGGCTCTGTCTCTCGGAGTATGGCTGTGGCACCTCATTGTTAAGAGAAATTCGGTTCAGGTCAAGCCGTCATCCTGGCGCGTCATGGCATATTCTCAAGGTCTGGCGGTGGTCGCGTTGTTGGTCGCCTCGGCCGTGACGACGGCATCAGCCTACAAGGCTGATGGTATTCTCGGGGAGCACGAGGTCGTCTTCAGGTACCACTCTGCCGGCAAGTCATTCGCGGTCATGACGTGGTGCGCGTTCATCAGCCACTCATTCGGCCTGCTGGCGTACGTCGGTTCGGTGCTAGTGTGTGAACGGCTGCAGCGGCCGGAGCTATATCCACCAGAGCCAGAACCGGAACCGGGAACAGTGCAACCGGCAGTTGTAGGGCGTGGAGTCAACAGAGGAAATAGGCGAGACGCACCCGTTCACAGAGAGCAAGACCCGGATGATGTCGACGACGAACTGCCGCCATACTCGAGGGTCGACCCGTACGGAATAAGCATCAGTAGGATGGGGAGGCAGGGGTCCCAGACATCACGAGAGTCCTTTGAAGACATTGAACTGGGAACGGTCGGGAATCGTGGGCACGCGCATGACGTTGATCTGAGTGTGCCGGCACCAGACTACGAGCTACATGAGAGCCCGTCGAACCGCGGTGCTGGCAGAGGACCTGGGAGTTCGACCTGATATGTTCGATAGAGCAGTATACCTGATTCTTCAAAATTAGTAACGTTGCCATGGTAATCAATTCAGAGTGTTGCCATGATGGTCCCTGGTCTTGGACGGGTGACGAGGATATTGGACCTAGCCGGGGCCGCTTCCGCCGTCAACGGAGCGCTGGACCGGACCAAAGTGCGCTAGAATTTGGGTGGACGTCACGCTAAATCTCGCGCGGACCCACTCCGTCGTCGCCTCAGCTCACCTTAAATCCGACCTCACCCATCTCGCAACGCTCACGCGAATCCTCGGTTTCCCCCCATCAACCACACCTGCCCGCGATGCCATCTCAAGAACTGCCGAGTATCTACGCGGAGCTTCTCACAAACATCCGCCAGCTCTCCATCGCGGTCTCCCTCCCCGCTCCCGCAGGCGGCCACACACACGGCCTCGTCACGCCAGACGGCGCGACGCTCCAGCTCCAGCACGCAGGCGCGCAGACCTCCTTCCCGCTTCCAGGCAGAGTCCACGCCGGAGGAGCCGCTCTGCCCACACCGCCGCCGGCATCACGCGCAATCGCATGGCGTCTCCCGCTGGCAGCCGACGCCTCGGCCCCGCCGCCGACGCGCAGCCCGCACGATGAGCCCGTGCCGTGGACGGCGCTGGACCTAGCCCCGGGCTCCGCCGTGGCGTGTAGGAGCTGCGCCGCGCCCCTGGTGCCCGACGGCCGCGCGAGGGAGTGGAAGGACCTGCCGAGCGAGAACTGGGCCGAGATGATGGACTTTTGGCACTGCCACAAACCGACGGACCACGAGCACGGCGGGGAGCACGAGCACCTGACCAAGCGCGGGTACGGCGCCAACTCGAGCATCGCGGCGCAGCCCGGCGTCGGCATGGTGGACCTCACCTCGTTCCTGTTTTCCGAGTCCGACTGCACGGGCCTGGAGGTAAGCGGGTTTCTTCCCTTTTCTGTATTCGTGCCCTGCGGTTTCCCCCTCCCGCCCCTCGTGACATGCCCGTTTTCCCTCTTGCGAAAAAGAAAAAAAAAACATGCTCAACCGGGGCTTTAAGAAGGCGGCCATATCGGCAGCTTGCGCTGCCGCTCAGTGATGTGGCCACCGATACCTCGCCCCGAGATGAACCATCTACTTCGTCGTCCCTGCCCCCACGCAGGCTTCCCGGCGGGCCAAAACCTCTTGCTCCTCCGCGGGCGGGATGGGTTTGGCCCGCCGGGTTTGAAGACCGCCCTCTTGCTTTCACTGGGGACTCCCAGAGCCGTGGGAGCTCCGGGATTACAAGGAGGGACATATACATGATTCCACACCCCCGTAACGTGCCCGGCTGGTGGCCACCCTCCCCCTCGGCTTCTTTCCCACTCCGTTTCTCTTTTTTTATATACTTACTCTTCCTTTCCCGTCCAGTTCTCTTCGTCACCGTCCTGTGATGCAGGATCAGATACCAGCTCAGCAGTCCTGGCCGGCGAATCTGATCCGCCCCCGAGGATGCTCTACGTGTTCTGCTCGGGGTGCCGAGCGCACGCCGGCTTCTTCAACGTCGCCATCTCGTCCGTCGTCCTGCTCAAGTGGCAAGTGTCATGCCGGACGACGTCGCCCTCGGCGCCTCCCAGCAGCGCTGAGTGCCTGGCCGCGACCCTGGTCGCCACGCTCTCGCGGTCCGGCTCGTCCAAGTCCGTTGTCGTGCCCACGTTCCAGCCGCCGCAGGGGGCCGCCGGCGCCGAGTCGTCGCCCGCGTTGCACCTGTGGGTCCTGAACAGCAGCATCGCCTACGCCTCGTCCCGGCGCGAGGGCAAGCGTTCTGCGATCAAGCTGCTGTACCGGGAGATCACGCAGGAGGACGCCGACGCGATGCTCGAGTCGATGACGTCCGACGTGCAGGAGGTCAACCTGCCGACGGCGGAGATTGCCAAGGCAGCGCAGGGGTTGAAGGCAAGCAGCGGGCTCCTCCCGCCGAGTGAGCGGGTGTTCAAGGAGTGGAGTGTTGGGCTGTTGGACAAGTGGGAGGCGGGCAGCAGATGAGAGGGCTTGAGCCGCATTGCGCCGCATGAGTGTAGAGCTGGACGGCGGCATGTTGAGTGCATGGCCGAGACGGCGACCGATGTAGTCCCAAGATGCCATCGGGCATACCGGTTTGATGCAAGGCGAGGAAGTAGCGGGAATGATCATCTTCGGGGTCATGGCATCCTGCAAACGATACCCTGGCGGAGTCTCAAACGAGAGGAATAGAAACATTGCAACCCATAAATCACCACAGAACCTCCTCGGGGCTGGCATGGCTGTGAGCCTGGAAACCAGTCACGAGACAAGAACTCATGAAAGCAACGCGCTATGAAATATGGCAAATGTATGCAAACTAAAATGCCTTCCCATTTTGCCTTTTTGCTTTGTTTAGATCTTGCCTCAAACGCCCTATAAACTTGTCTCCCGCTATTCGACATACTCTCTCTCCCTCCCCAACCTCCCTGAGCTTTCTGCCGTAGACGTCCTTCCGGCCTACTACAACCTTTAGAAGCTTCCGGTCTACACCTGTCACAGGTTTTCCTCCCCTCTTTAGGCATGTTTATGCAACAAGGCACATCTTGGTTGAAGGGCACGGAAAGTCTTGACGATCCCAAGAAATGTTAAACATCCTTCGACAGGTTCACAACGGGAGTCAGGTAGCAATCATGATTAGTCAAGTGACTTGTATTCATCCATCTTTCTCGCCTCCATCCCCCGAGGCAGATACCATTATCGATCTGGGAGAAAGGTGCCAACCTGCCAGAGGCCGCTGTCTCTAAATACAGCTCTTTGTTTCTAGTGTCATATGCACCAAACAAAGACACACACAATACACACATCTCCTTTTTATGGCGAACGCCCACGAGGGCAATTCGCCAGTCTCCCCTTATGGACGTAATCGTTAAAATATCGCTGTTTCCCCTTTTTTCTTTTTATGCAAATGTCCTAATCAGCAAGCACTGAAAGCTTGAAGAAAGATGCGCGCTACAGCCAACGAGGAAACAACAGAAAAGGACAAAAATAGCAACCAAACACATACACACACAAGATTAAGTGAGGGTATAAATACAGCCCTCTCAACTCCCCTGTACAGTACGGGAACAGAGAGAACGCACGGCAAGTATCACGTGTTTGCTTAGAAGAACTTGCCCTTCTTCTTTTTGATCGTCTTTTTCTCCTCGCCGCCCCCGAGGATGTCGTCAAACGTCATGGTCGACGTCGCGGGGGCTTCCTGGGTATAGGTATGGTCAACGGACAGGTTGCGAAGGTTCGTGGCGGAAGGCGTGCTCGGCATGACCATGCTCACAGGGCGGGATCCCGCAGAACTGCTTCTCGCGCTACCGGCGACGCGCGAGGTGCGGTCGCCCGGCAGGCCCTCGTCGAATGGCACGGGCTCAAGGCCGAAGATCATACTGGAGCGGTGCGCGCTGCGGCTGCCGAGATGGCGCCCTCCGGGCGAGGCATTACGCGGCCGGAGATGAGACTGCGGGGACCCAGGCGTGGGCGGTGTGCCGGACGCGGGGCTGCTGACTATGCCATCCGGACCAGGGAACACCGGCCGGGGCGGTTCCAAGGGAGACATGCCAAACTCTTGTGGGGGTGGAGCCTCTGCGCCATTCAGGCCTTCCCATTCTTTGGCGGCCAGCCAGCAGTGGCTCCGGTGGTAGACGGCCTCCACGCTGAACAGAACGCTGTCGGCCGAGAGTTCGACGTAGCCGTTGCCGCCCGAGACTTCGTACCACATCTTGCGGACCTGGCGCGCGTCCTCGAGCCACGGCAGATTGCCCATCGGCGGCTCGCAAAGGAAGTACTCGACGGCCTCGCTGAACTTGAGGTTTGGCGCGTCGACAACAAGCATGGGCAGCGATTGAATGACAACGTAGAGGAAGAGCCAGTAGCCGATGCGCTGGTCTGCGAGGTCGGCAGCGCTCTTGCCCTTTGCCTCGTGCTGCTCAAAGTCCTTGAACTCCACAAGGAACGGGATGTTGACGCTGTTAGCATCCCAGTTGTACGCCTTTTGGATGACAAGCGTCAGCTCGTGCTCCTTGACCTTGCGGTCGAACTTGGCCTGTTCCTTCTGGGACATGGAGTCGTAGGTTGCGAGAATGGTCGTCATCGTTGGCAGCTTCGGAACGTCGAAGGGGATGGGCGGCAGAACGGGAGGAGTCGAGTTGTCGAACTCGGTAAGCATCTTGCGCAGGTTGACAATCATTGGTGAATCAGTCGTTTTGCCCGACTCCTCGTTGGCATTTCCATCCATAACTCTGGTGGTGATGTTTTCACGGTCCACGATGAGGTCATACAGCCCGCACATGTCGGAGTAGAGGGCCTTCAGCACCAAGCGGTTGAGGCCGCTCTCGGAGAATGGATTCTTCTTGCTGCTGGCCTTCGGAGGCCACGCGCCAAAGGTGGTCTTGTAGTATCCCAGAACGAACTGCTTCATCTTGTTGAAGGACTTTTGCCAGACCTTGAAGCGGATAGCCTTGAGCTCGGGGTTTGAGGTGGAGCTCGCAATACCAGCAAATATCGAAGGGAATTCGAACTGCTCCAGCCTGATATTGACATTGTGCTGTCGGTTCACGAGGTCCAGATGCGCGCGCTCGAGGCGTTGCCGGGTGTAGAGGGATATTTGCTCAAACAGGGGCGAGCGCAGGTCGAGAATCGCAGTGTACTTGCCAACGGCGTGCGCGAAAGCCTCGTTGTAGAGTTCCATCGACCTCATCGCCTCGCCCAGAATCAAAGACTCGAGCGTCTTCTCGCGGCTGTGGCGGACGTCGGCAAGCGACAGTTGCTCCATGAAGAAGCCGAAGCTGAGGTCGACCGCCTCGCCGAAAGAAGCGCCGTCTGCACTGGCGAAGCCATACTCCTTGAGCAACTTTGCAATCTGCAAAAACGCAGCGAAAGTGGTGGGGTGCGCCTTGGTGGCCACCAGCGGCTGGCCGGTCAAAAACGCAAAAAGGTTGCGGATGGAAATCAATCGGTCGACGTCGGCATGGAGCTGGGGTCCCGGCCCACCGATCTGGCCATTCCCTGGTTGCGTGTATTGTGGGGGCGTCGCCGGCAGATACAGCTTGAGATCGCCGGTGCTCTCCTGACCTTCCAAAGGAGGGGAGCCGCCGGCCCGCGCGTCATCCACCGAAAGGCTATCTCGGCCACCGAAACTCCTCGCCCTGCTCCTGCTGGTCGGCGAGGCCATTTCGGCCTGGATGAGCTCGTTGAAGATGACCGAGTTGTTGATGGAGAAGCTAGGAACCTTGAAGGACGGTCCGGCGTTGCTGCTTCTGGGTTGGAGGTAGACGCAAACGTTGCCGTTTTCGTTCCACAATTCCGGGACCTGACGCTGAATTAGCTCCCGTCCGATTGCAACGGGACGAGAAAGCTTACCTTTTCCGCATTGAGCAAAAACGACGTGTTGTATTCGCCAGGGGTGTCCGGCGACAATACCCATGCCTGGGAATTCTTGCCCGCCGCGGTGACATCTTGCGAATTCGATCGTGATCTTCCCCCGCCGGGCAGCCAGCTCCTGCGCAGCCGTCCACGTCTCTCGTCACGGGTCGGGCTCTGGCTCTCGCTAGACCCAGGTGTCTGTAGCGTATGCTGCGAGCTTCCCGTGTTGGTCCTGGCTCCGGGCGGGTTTGCCGAAGTGCTCCTGCCTCGTGCATCCGGACCCGGTGAAGGCGCGCGGACGCCCAACAAGGGGAACGCCGATTTGCGGTTCTCGAGGAAGGAGCTGCTACGCTTTCTAGGCTCGGCACTTTCCTTTCTCAACTTCGCAGGTGACGTCGTCTCGGGCTGAGAGACGACGCGGGGCGAAATATCGTTTGTTTGCGGGACCGGCAGGGGTGCCGGCAGGTTCTTCTCCTTTCGAAGCTTCGCCGGCACGGGAGGCGGCGCCTCGGAGGGCGGTAGAGGAGCGGCCATCATGTTTGGAGTGGTGGATGAAGGGGGTATGGGAGGAGAGATCAGAGGGCGATCAGTAGAGGAAGACGATATTGTCGGAGGGTACGTGGGTGAGTGAGCGGGTTTTCCAGGAACTGGAGGCGGTGCATCAGAGGGAGGAGGTGGTGGGGTGTCGAGGGGTTCAAATGTCGGAGTAGCGATGCCAAGACCAAGACCCGAGCTCGTCACAGGGCGGACGGTGGGATTATCAGTCGTGTGGTAGGAGGGTGCGCTGTCGGAGGGAGACGAGGCGGGAGAGTCGTCGGGCAACGGTTTGCGGTGAATCGGTAGCTGCTGCTGCGGCTGGGCAGCCGGCGTTTGGGTTTGGGGTTGATCTGTTGGTTGGAGGATGAGCGAGGGGAACAGAGAAGACAGGCGGTTGCCCCAAGACCGGGATTTTCTGTTGTTGGGGGGCCGGGTGGGAGCGAGCACTGGCTCGGCGGGCTTCTCCTTCTCTTCGACGGTCAAGGTCAGGTTTCCGCTGTTGATCTTCGCAGCAGTCACGGGGAGGTTGACCGAGGTGTCGGTCTGTGATCGTTTCGGGGATGCGGGAGGCAGTGGGCGGGAGTGCGTGTAACTGCTGGCGTCAAGGTGACCGGCGTCTGCTAGTGCAGGCTGCTGCTGCTCGTGTAGGGGCTCGGACACGCTGTGATTGCGGCGGGATTTGGGCAAGACGGGGTCGGCGAGGTTGGTTTGAGAGGAAGAGAAGGAGAAGTGGCCAAAAGAAGACTTAATGGAGGCGCGAGAGACCGACAACTTACTCGACGTCATGCTGGGCAACACGAGCAGCCGTCTTTCAGTCTTGCTTAGTCTAGACCCTGCCTGGATCTGGCGTGGATGTCACCCTCAGCCGCGGCGCAAGTAAGAAGGCGTGCGTAGATGGGCAGTGGCGGGAGAAGGAGCTGAAGGAGCGATCTCGTAGCCAACAACCAACTAGCGGTATTCTCGGGGGTTTTTTTTCCTCTTTCTCTTTCTTGCGCGGCGGTAGGAGGACACAAACAGTTCAGTCCAGTCCAGGAATAGCAAAGCAGACTTCCGGTAGGAGAAACGGGCGGGCGGCGGGCATTATGAACTCAAACAAAGGGCAAGCAGAAGGCGGACCAGGGCTCCAAGAGACGGCGAATGCGGGACTGAGACCTTGTTCCTTGACGGGTGGGAACGGGATGGGATGGGAATGGCGTGCACAGGTACAACCTAGACCATGAACATGCTTGGGGATATAGTGTACGAGGCAAGACACAGACACCGGATCCCTGGGAAAGAGAATATGGAGAGACAAATGGAACTGAGAAGGAGAGACAGCCCGCGCGAGGGGGAGAGGGGACTCGTCGGTCAGGGAGGGGTGTATCGAGAGAGAGGCAGAGAAAGTATGTTAGTTACCTGGCATGAGGCTTTGCTTTGCTTTGCGTTGGTTGCTGCGCGTTGCGTTGCGCTGTGCTTTGCTAGGCTTGCTGAGCTGAGCTGAGCTGAGGAAGTCGATGGCAGAAACGGATGGGAACGGGGCCGTTACGCGTTGTTGGCAGTGTTGTGTAGTGTATGTATTGGAATAGTCCTAGAAAGAGAGGGTCATGTCGACCTCGGAGTACGTAAGTTGGTGAGGCACAATGGGAGGTGAAGGCGGACCAGGGCTAAAGGGAAAACGGCCCAGGACAGGGGTACGTACTCTGAATCGTACATAGTAAACTGCGGCGCACATACATAGTAGTGCCATGTACCTTTTTCTGGAGAGAAGTCTGATGATGGACGATGAGAGTGGATGAGATGGCCCACGCCGCAAGGGACGCCCTGGCCGCGCAGCTTCTTCTTCGCCGTCGACGATTGCCCTTTTTTTTTTTCTCTCTCTTTTTTTGGGGAGGTAAGTGGAGACAGACACGGTGAGTCTGGACAGCACTCGTGGTTCTTCGTCCGCTTCGGACACTGTACCTGCCCTGTTCTGTCCACCCTTCATCCCTTATTGAGAGTACGTACCGTCTGAAAGTACCGACGTACCCCCTTCACACACATGCACATGCACACTAAGGTGTACGTACTATCAGTACTCTGTACGTATGCATGTATTGGAGGGTCCAGAGGCCCAGCCTTAGCGCAGCATTCTTTGGGGAGGGATCCGGCTGAGGGATGACGCTTTTGGGTGCGGAGTGGGGTCCAGGAACAGTGAGAGAGTCCAGAGATCCCAGCGGATGTGCAAGAATGGAACAAGTCACCCAGCACTTCTCTAGAGACGGGGAGACGAAAAAAGGGGTGAGGCCGCAAGCGCAACGGCGGAAAAGCGATGGATTCATCATTTGGATCGACAGGCAGAGAGAATGTGGCCGTTGGAGGCTTGCCCAAGGTCACCAGCTCAATTTCACCACAGGACTTTCAGGACTGAGGTCCCCTCCGCCCGAGTCTCTAAGCCCTCAGCTCATCTCCAAACCCGGCCCAGGCTCCCCTCTGCATTAGTACAGAAACATGGGGGGGAGGGAAGCAGCAGCTCAACTCCCGGCGTTGGGCACCCGGCAGTGCCGTGCAATTGCGACGGGGCCTGCCTGTGATGTCCCTCGTCGATTCCCTCATCGATTCATCACTCGACCGCTGGCGCACATTGGTCACATGGGGGACCGCCCAGGTTCCATTGTTGCGGCGGGGATAGCCTGTACGCGGCGCATCATTTCGAGCCTGCTCTTCTCGCTTCTTTAAACCCGCTCGAGTTCGTATGCTGGAATTAGGGAGACGAGGCTCTTCCTTTCCTCAGGTGAACCGTGTGGACGGCGTGTACTGCCATGTTAAATCCGTCATCTCGTATACGCCGGACACACTCAGCAGAATATAATATACAGAGAGAGAAACCATCTGCAAGTACCCCGAGGCGAGAACGAGGCCGGCTCGGGCCATACGAGCACTGCGGTGCCGGCTACCAACAAACCTTCGGGCAATTCTTTCCCCTCCCCTCCTTGTGCTTGCAGACTCCAAAGGTCGGGTCCCCCGGTGTGACGCTGGCCCAGCTTTAGGTTGCAGCAGCGCCTGCGATTGGGCCCGGCCCCGAGAAGCCGGAAACACGGGGTCCTGTCATGGTCCTGGCCAGCGTCGCGTACCGTCGCAGCGAGTGGCCGGACTGCCGAGTCGCTATTGCTGCTATTACTGCTGCTGCTGCTGCTGCTACTGCACTTTAGACGCAGGAGGGACGCCTGCGCGTGGGTGCTGCGTACGAAACGGGTTCTACCGGTATTTCGAACCCTCTCGTTGGGTGGTGTCGTCGTTGTTTGGACAACTCTTATGCACAAGTGACGGACCCCGGAGCCATATAACTGGTTTCCAGGTTTTATGTCGCTCGGCTTGCTTTTTTCTTAGATGCACGCTGGTAACGGACATGTACTTGAAACTTTCCCCCTCAATTCCGACGTCAATGCCAGCAGCAGCTCTCACCCCCTGGCATTGGTTGGTTCCCTTGGCTGCTTGGACCCAAGCAATTGGCTCTCGTTGGCGTCGGCGTCAGCCTGCAGCAGCGCACCAGCCAGCCGACATGTTGAGAGAGTAGGTACACTACCGGTAGGTAGGGGCAGAGGGAAGGGGGGAGGAAAGAAAGCTGGAAAACAACCCGTGCAATGGTTGATTGGAGGGCAGCGGTGCAAGACTGGGCCGTTGCGAGTTGCTCCAATTCGGCGTGGCTGAGTTGTTCCTTCCTTCTGCCTCTGGAACATTGAGGCTCCAGATCCGCGGGGCAACCTGAGAGGCAAGGCAGCACAGCTACCTACTATTATGTACCGTAGTAGGGCGAGCGAGCCGGGGCTGGCGGCAAGGCTTCGCGGGGTGTCTCTTTCCAGCTGCAGCCTGCATGGATCATTGATTGTTCCTTCCTGAGCATGAATTATTGGTGAGGGTGCTAGCTGCACAGCTCACCACTTTCCATCTGACAACGTCCCTTTCTGACTCTGACATGCGTTGAGTAGTAGCAACTCCCGCTGCGTCTGACCTTGATGACTTTGTGAAGTGTGCATCTCCGTCTCGTCCAATCGACTTCGTCCCGTCGTCTGTTATTCGTCTGGACTCTCCACCAGGCTTCCCTTCCCAGCGCTGAGGAACATGTTCGTGTCACCCGAAACCGTCTCCTCGTCGTCCAATGTCGGCACCAGCAGACCCGGTGACGTGATCGGAGACAAGACAGACACGCCCGCCCACCTGGAAAGGAGGCTCATCTGAGCCTTTTCTTCTTGGAACAGCATGCTGCATACACAAGAGCACTTTTTACGTATTATGACACCGGCCATTGGACAATGTGCCGATATTTGCGATGCCGTCTCATCCTGCCGACGACACCACGACGACGAAAAGCCTTGGCCGGAGCGGATCCTTGATTGCCGTGGCCTTTCCCATCCCGTTTGTTGGTCAGTCCCTGCGGCAACGGCTGCTTTTTCCATGGGTTTCCTGCGTCGTTTTTCTTGTCCACCGGTCGCTAGCGTGCTGGGCAACTCTGCCGCCGAGTCCGCCAGAGAGAGCGGACGACGACAAACCGCCGAGCCCCGGAACACTCTCTCCAACGTCGGCTCTCATCCACTTTCCACTTAATGCACCAGACAGCGGCAGCAAAGAAACCAACCTCCGGGACCCCCCCCCCCCCCCCCCCAGCGGCGAAACACAAAAGCACTAACAAAGCCGGGCTGGGACCGACGACAAAGGAAAGTCGTATAGGCGGCGTCCCGTGGACCTCGTGTGCTACCGCCCAGGTCCTTTTCTCGATCTGGACATAAGGTTTGGTTTTTCTAACAGGGTGGTCCAGGAGGGAAGCACAACGCGCCTAGCCTTACAGAGCATTACTATCCAGAGTTACGGATACACCATGAGGCCCGCGACTTTCGCCATCCATTCAACTTGCGGCGTTTGATGTTGCACAGCGAATAAAGAAAGACACTTGCACGAAAAAGCTTTTTGGGTAAAAATAACTACGCGGCGCCTCCCTTCCCCAGTGCGCCCCGTCCCACGCATCATCTCATCCACCACACTCATTCCACTCATTCCACCCATTCCACTACCCGTTCAATCCGTGAGGTACCGCGGCAAAATCCGCCCGCTTTCGGTTCATCCTCCCACCTGCCCGCCGCGCCAGCCCCGCCTCACCCGCTCAACTCGTCGTCGCTGTTCGGACACAAGAGAAGATATGCAGGACTGGCGCTGACACAGCCACCTTTGCGGCCCCTCCAACAAGATTCGCCATCGAGCCATCCGGCCCGTTCACATCTCGCTCTTTGCCAACGTGCTCTCGCCAGCTGACGGCCGACTAGGGCCATCCGAGAGCCCGAGAGACACTCCAACTCCCGCAGCCATCCACAACACACACACACACACACACACCCCTTCAACCGTCTGCTAGCCTGCTTTCACTCTGTCTAGTCTGCTAGTCTGCGCTGTGCTTTTGCACCGACCGAAACGTCCTCGTTGATTTCTTCTAGCGCCGATCTTGACGCTCTTGGCTTTCCCGACCTCTTCTTCGTTCCTACCGCGCGTGCCCCTGTCCCTTTTGACTCCTTCTCGGGCGCGGTCAACCGTCCTGCCTGTCATCTCATCCTACCGCCGTCAGGATGGAATCCTGCCGATCAGCGCCTGACGACTGGCAGCTCAGGCAGGAGGCCGCTGAGCTGGTACCAGAATGCGCCAGAGGAGGCACAATGTGGCATGTTGGCTCCTCTGAAGACGCTCCCGGACCTGAGCCCCCAAATCTGACTTGACGCCCGATCGTTCGTACGAATCTCCAATGCGGCGCCGCATTTCTGGGTCTTCGACTCACTCCGCAAAAGTGGACGGGAACAAGGGAAGACCCTTTGCATTTTGCCCTCTCCGATGGGTCTCTCTGCTTCCTAAAGGGGGTGGACATGGTGGTCCTCAGCGTGGGGCCTTGAAGCATTCCAATCTTAGATCAACACTGCAGCGCCATCCCCACATTCCCGGCGCGCCATGCGAGTCGGCCACCGTCGTCGTGCCTCCCTCCGCCTTCGGAGCTCACCGTGAAGAATGCTACCATGACAGCCGGGCCTGCTGACGACTACGGTTGCGTCGTCTTCGCAGGGCTGAGTTGGTCAACCGGGGTCTGGCTCTTGCGATGTTGGTTTGGAGCTCGGCAGACTTTTTTTCTCTTTCTTTTCTGCAATTGTTGAGCGCTCGGGCACGCTGCCCTCGATGTGCGGCCCAAGGAAACTTGCGCGGCCCCTCGCCCGGCCGGCCAAGACGTCCGATCGAGGCCGTGCCTGCGGCCGGTGGGACCCTCTCCGTTGAAGCGTTTCGGTGCCGAACCTTGAATACACCGTCTGGGGAGGTGTCCGGCTTAGCCGGTGGCAACAAGTTGCACGTGTCGCTCGTAGGTCAAGCTCGTGATCCTTGTGGCCCGGAGTGCGTGAGGTGTTCGGAAAGTTTCTGTCCAAGTGAGCATCGACCTTGGCAAGTTTGGTTTTCTGCGGCTCAGCACCAACAGGAAGGGTTCAGGGGTTTGGAATCTGCGCGGTTTAGAACAGGACGTCACATGTTTTCGCCCCCAGGTCATCCGTTCTCGGTACCAGATGAACTGATATCGCTGGTACGGCTGGTCAGGGTCGTAGACTCACCTCACGGGGGCGGAGCGCCGGCAGGGTCTATCCGCATCCCCTTTCACAGCTGATGCGTTTACTTTTTCGAGGACACTGGGAGCATCTCATCGAGCCAGAACACGTCAGTGTACTTTCGACGGTGAATACCCGCATGTTCCATCATGAATACGCCAAAGATGAGGGTAAGTATGGAAGGACGACGCCGGACTCTAGTGTAACGGTGCTAGCTGATTTTCCACGCTGGGACGTGGTCAAGTGTACGGTTACTATACGACATTCAGAATAGGTAATACTAGTGGATCAAAGTAAGTATATAGAAAAGGCCTAAATAGCACCAGCTATGTTCAGACGAATTAAAACCATACCTAGGGGTGTTTATACGAAGGCGTACTAGACAAGGGTCCATATTGGTCCTCTATATGTCATTCCTCAAGGTGTTTATTGTGCAAAAGTGAGCTCGGCGGATGCCCCAGTCGAGTACTCGCCATATACGTACGCGACCCAAGGACGCCAGTGACGGAACGAACAAGTCGCGGCAGGGTGATTCTTTGTGAAGCACTCGCGCGCATGAATCCCAGATGGCTTGGCCGGTGTTGACTGGACTTGGCGTGAAGACAGGGCCATGTGACGTTGCTTAGGGTCCCGCTTGTGAAGACCGTCGGCACCTATCGGCGGGAGGTTAGTCTCCCGATGCTGTATTCCAGGGTGTATACGGCTGTAAGGCTAGAGACGACCAGCAGTATTGGAAGGGCAAGGTGTTGCCCTTTCTCGCGGGTTCGCCGCGAAACCCTTCTGAGCTTCGGCGCGATTGTCAGTGGAAAGCAATAGTCTTTCCTGAACAGATGATGATGTTATCGAAGAAGTCCGACTCGACGTTATTGATTCCCGAATCGCGTGCTTGCTGGCGATACGCCGCGAGACCTTGCAGGTTTTCCTTAAGGAACTTCTGGAAAGCAGAACTGGTGCTCACTCGGCCTTGTTGATCAGTCGAGATTCTCCGCTGTCCAGGGTGACGGAAGAGCAGTCCCGACTGCGGTTCGGAAGGGATGCGAGCCGTTGTCGGAAAAGTCGGGCGAATCGCCCGCAGGATGTTGTCTAATAAGGCTTCCTGGGTCGTTCATGACGTTGCTCTAGATGATTCTCATGGGTCGTGTCTCACTATCTTCGAGGCGGCAGGCATTGTATACTGCACGAGATGGTTATGCTGGTTACGGGAAGGAGGCGATTAGACAGACTAGTGCTCAGTGGTGAAGACATATGGTTCAAGGACTCTGCTACATATGAACACGCTAGCAGGTATGGGTGTTTATTGGATGAATTTTTCAACTAGGAAGCGACCTCTTGCTGTTTTGTCTCCGCTTTGGTCCCTTTCCTCTTGCACATCGGACCAGTGTTTCGCAAGTCAGGTGTTTGGCCGCAGTTGCTGGCGCCCATTATGCTGTCGTGGATTTGTCCACGCCTGGCGTAGTCAGACACGTGAACATGGAGTATTCACGAAGCCCTTCGGCTTACACATGGTGGTTTGTTGCTGACCTTTCCTTGGTAGCTGGATGGAGAAGACCTGAGCACTTGGAAGTGTCTGCTCTTGAATCGCCTGTGGCGCCTACGCAACACGTGGAAGCAAAACACAAGCCAGAAAGATAATCTGAGCGAGGCCATTTTCGTATCAAGTGTCCCTCAGAGAAAAGCCAGACTTGCAGGGGCGAGCTGCTTGGCGGTCGACTGAGGTTGGCCAGGGTTTATATTCCTTCAGCTCCAGCTCAACAGTCGAAACGATCCTAAAAAGGAGCTTCTGCATCGACTCCATTTGATCACCACCTCTCAGGGTAGGTTAATCCTGTACTCCAGGTTATCTGAACCAACACCCGTCGGGTCCTCCACCTGCTTGATCCACACTACAGACTTGTCCTCGTACACAACCTCCACGTCAAACAGGTGCTGCGTCTCCCTCCTCTCGCCGCCACGGACCGCGATTGCAGGATTATTCGACTTGTAGCTCTGCAGCATGCTCAGCCAGGCCTGTGTGTCCCACAAGCCGTCGCGGCGCGGGAACTCGCGGAACAGCCGCACGGCGTCGGCCTGCACGTCTTGGTCGGCGCAGAGCATGGCCGCCGCGCCGAGGGGCCACGTCGGGCCATTGCTGTCCATGGTGAAGGTCTCGCCCGCCGTTTTCGTGAGTCGTTTCTGGAGGTGGAGGAACTCCTCGCTGCAGGTGACGTATTCGCGGAAGGCGGGCGTCATTTGCGCCAGGGTTTCGAGGTCGGTGTAGTTTGCCGTCACGGTCGGGATGGAGAGGTATGTCGAGTGGATTCGTAGCCCGAGGGTCTTGAGACGCTCTCTGCCATCGACCTCCCTCCCCTCCTGCGCCTCCATCAGGGGTTTAAATCTGGCTCGCCATTCCTTGATGAACCGGTTGTAGCCCTTGACCTGCTCGGGCGGTATTGGGAGACTCTGGTTTGGAGGAAAAGACGGCGCTTTGTTTCCTGTCCCTTCGACACGGAAACCTATCATTATTGGCGCGTGGTGTATGACGTGATGCTGCGTGATCTCCCACCAGCGGTGGGCCTCGTCGAGGGACTCGAATGAGTCTGGCATCTCATCGACCGCGTACCGTTTCGTGTGTCCCCGGCAGCACCACGGCACCTGCTCCTCGGTTTCTTTCGGATGGTCCCCGTTGTGACTCCAGGATTGTAGCGTCAGCCGCTGGAAGTTTGAGGTTATTGCCTCGACCAAGGGGTCACGTTTCTTCTTAATCCGCCTTTCGTACTGGTCGAGGATGTTATTACCATAGTTGAGATGCATCAACGCCGCCCTCCGGTCCCCTTGCAGCGCCTCGAACATGAAGAACAAAAGACACGTCATCAGGACGCTGTGGAACGTTTCCTCCGTGGGAGGCGATTTCGCGGTCAGTTTCAGCGCGCGGTTGTAATATTGGAGAGCGTCCACGTAGTAAGGGCCTTTGCCCCCGAGACGCTCTTCACGGGTGCTGCTACCCAGCGCCGCCGCGCCGATGGCGAAGGCGGCATTCCTCACCGCCAGGTCTGACTGGGCGATCTGGGGGATCGTGTTGGTGATCAGCTCCGAGGGGAAGACGAGGATGTCCACGGCGAAGGACAGCCATTGGTCAAAGTGGTCCTTTTGCAACTGTGTCGTGAAGACGAGGCTCTGGTAGCTCGGCTCAATCAGTAATGATGGGCTGGGGGATCGTGCGAGCTGGTTTTTCGAGGACGCGTTGGGCGGTTTAGGTTTGTACCCCTCGCAAGTTACTCTGCGCTTAAAACAGTTCTGGCAGGATGGCTTGGTCTCATCGCATTTGATTCTGCGCCGTCTGAAGACAGTGTTAATGAGATACGGGCCGGTGTATGAACTCGAAAAGCTGAGACTTACTTGCAAGTGACGCATCCCGTCCGGACCTTGGGCTTACTAGCCCTGGTGGCAGGCCCGGTGTTGTGCGGCCAGTTTTCGAGAGCAAAGGTAAGGATCTGAGGGCCGGAAGACAGCATTATAGGTCTCGATGTGAGCATCGAGTAAGTAATGAGTGCAAACAGGTTCCGGTAATTCGGAGCCGAGTCTTATTTCGCTACAACACTTCGTCTTCGTACAAATTGAAATCACCGTGTTTTGTTTCGAGATGGAGTCTCTTTCATTTCCGGAACGGTAGACTTGGAGTCTTTTCTGTTGGGTAAGAAGAGTAGCCGCTGCCTATCCCCCCGCGATTTGAAACCCTAGACGATGAGACGAACGGCCGATGTCTGTCTGAAACGCTTAGGTGATCGCATTCCCCGGCGTTTTCACGAATGAACGAGCAGAAAAGCAAGGAACTTTAGCCCGCCGGCGACTAGCAAGACCAGTCGTCAATGGCGGTTGAGGAGGACGGGTATAGTGTTTTATGTCTGCACCGGGACGTAGCGGGGACGGGAGCCCACGCCTCCCGTCAGTATGCGTTGGAGAGCTTGGTTAACATTGGTGGTAGGGATTTAGACCCCTGACTAAGGGCCAGAGTTGGGGTAGCATAGCCTCTAAGATCGACCACATGTCACCCAAACTCGGGCCATGCCAGGCAACTGTTGATCTATGACGAGTGTATCGTAAGGGTCACCAATCACGCAGGGAAAGATGGAGGATTCAATCGAATTCCCATGTTTTTGCAGGAGTGACGTGAGCGCCTGTAACCAGCATATCGACTGCGCCCTATAGAGACATGCCCTCCAGAAACCGGGCTGACTGCATGTTTCTTTGGAGGTTAATAAATCCAAGTGGTAATAGAGCGCAGAACGTCTGTGTACGCAGTCTGACTTGCGGCGGGGAGGGGCAACCCGGCTTGCTCTACGATTTCGCCGACTCGGGGATCGAACTCTGGTCGGTAGGTTTACTAATTGGACCTCCGACTCCGTTGAGAAGACGGAAACTAACAGCATTGTACGATTCGCCGGTAGCAGGGTTCTTCGTTCAGCTCTGCAAGAGTTCGGCACGAGGACTGGGCAGGTGACCGACCTCTGCAGTCATCCTGACAACTACCCGAAGGACGAGGAACATACTCAACCCACTCACATCTACTGGATTTGGGGTTGCGTTGGCAATATTAACGCTTTAAACGTATGGCTGTGCAAGCAAAGTCAAAACCTAGCTCCAGCCCCATTTCATCTCGACCTATAGAGATGGCACTCATTATCAAGCTCGATCAAAGGGGTAACCAGCTCGAGGTTACCTCGATGCAAAACTTTCCTTGGCGACATCCTCATCGAAGCAGGCTGTCGTCTCGTTTCTCGATAAACTGTTGGGATCATGCTCTTGTTAACAGCGTCACTTCTGTTTTGAACAGAGTCCTCCTTCTAAAGTGGACCAACTATCGAATAGCAAGCCCGGTGAAGACCCCCAGGGTTCGGTTGACTAAATACGTAGTAGTATTTGTATTAATATGCCCTACGGTTGCCGATCGCTAGATGCGAGGAAATACCGCAATACCTTGAAGCTGCTTCTTTAACAACTGCCTTGAGGCCTGCCGGCCTCTACACGATGGGAAGTCGTGATCAATACAAGACAAGCCCCCCATCGCCGTAGCATCATGATGCGGCAGAGTGCTAACACTCGCCCACGGCAATTTGGCTGGCATTCTTAGTCTGGCATTCCCGGTTAAAATGGTTACGGCTAAAATGAGACTCGGTGATCGGGCAAACAGGTTGCACCTTTATCTCCTCACTAAACCTCGAGAATCTTATAGTATGCTGAAAGCGGAGGGCACGCACGTGGTTGAATATCGAGTCTGCAACGTGGTTCGTCCCGACAGCCCTATCAGCATCTAAGACCTCACTTTCAGGCCCAGTAGGCTGTCCTAAAGTTAGAGACGTGAATTGCTGTGTAGTAAGCAACCTGTTATAGAACGAGAGTTAGCTTACTAAACTCACTGCTACGCACACAGTTGATTGAGCATTCAAGAACCGGAAAGTCTGGACATTGTCACTGAGCTGCATGGCGACCTTGTTCCTCAAATACAAGACAGGGCGCAAGCATTGAAGGCGTCTTACTGAAGGCACGTTGCGGGCTGTTTTCCCTAGGCATCATATAAAATGAGGGCCATGTCCAACTGGAACCTCCGCGACCACAATGAGCGACCTGAACATCCTCTGGGCATTCTGGATGGAAATCGCACCAAAAAACTGCTCATGCAACGATCCGAACGGCGGTTAAGAACCTGCCGTCATTTCAGAGAATAGAAAGAACCAAACATCTCAAGTCCTACCTGTCACGTCTGCGCGTTTCCAACCGACATATGTTCTCAAGCCCACGGTGGACGGATTGGTGCATCCAAGATATCATCTGGATATCTGTTTGATGAAACTGTGCTCCTCGAAACGTGGGTGGTCCGTGCGCCGAGCTACATTGCCGATTCTGACATACACCTCCGATATCTCCGGGCATGCGGAACTGGACAGATTTGAATGTTTTTCTTCGCCATGACCCTGGACAAGCCAGAGCACACAATGAAAAAAAAAAGTGTTCGCGTCGCCTGGAGGCAGTGTAATACCAGGGACACTGTGGGAGAAGTCGTGTGCAAGCACAGAGGGCTTCTCCCCGAGACCAAAAATAGGAATAATCACGATTGGTCTCCTTAGAGACCTTTCAGAGATTAAACTGAAAAGAACAGATACTACACTTGATCTAAGCCAAAAGGCCTGATTGAAATGCGTTAGTTAGAGCATCAAAGGAGGGTCGGGTCAATGTGCTTACAAAGAGAGCTAAAGAAGAAAGAGAAAAACATGTAAAGAATGGCGGACTGGCAAGCTATATATAGCTTTCGGATGGGCGGTGTCCTGAGCCTCGGATCAGCCAGATGGCAGAATCTGAGGGGGCCTGAGTCATTTCGGCAGAGGAAGAATATTGAACCGTGCGGGACCACCGCATTCACGGGAAATTGGACCCCAAAAATGTCCAATCGACTTGCTGGTTCAGGGGAAGCGAGCTGTCTGTCTGGGTCAAGCTAGGGCAGATTACGATGATGTTACCCAACACACTCCACCGGGGACAGGCAACAAACATGATTGCGGCATCCATTGGTCTATTAGCAGCTCTGAATCTCCATACCTGCTGCTCTTTCTTGCCGAAAAGTGGTCGACGGTGGTCTTTGGATCCATGCTGTGGACACATGACAAACAGAATCCATCCCGTGCCCACTATGGAATCCCAGAGGCTGGCTTCTTGTGGTGCATCTATGCGAATGATTGCAAGTAAACAGCCTTTTGTCACCGAACACACACCGAGATGGACTCAACCTGACGTACCGGAAAGTATGTAACTCCGAAGGCTAGAGGCTTGCACTTGTGGCGCCACTATGCTATGTAACCTATGTGACCACCCTCTACAGTCCGAACAGCGCTGGTTATTGGATAACGTGTCAGTGGTACTGTTATCAGTTACTTACTTATGACGGATGATGCACGTCGAAATCAGAACCGCTCCTCGCAGTAATGATTATTCCGTTTTTCAGATCGAAGGGTAACTATTCATGAAGCAAGCTTGTCCAGGTCATAACAAATGACAATGTACAACATAAGAGTGTATCGTCGCATGCGTGGCTTACCCATATAATAAGCCTGCTTTCATTCAGACTGCCCATTGTCAGGCGCCGAAAGCTGGCAGTGGATCGTTACTAGGAGTCTACTCAATTCGGCTTGAAGAGTGTTACGACGAGCGGTGTTACAGATTATTTCAAATGCCCCAATGTCCAAGTGAAATTTTCCGCAATCCAGTCCATCTAGACTGTACCTATTGGATGACAGGATTGGGATGAGACGGCATTGACCGGGGTGGGGCCAGCAATAAAGGGTCCGGAGCTCCGATCAAACTCGGCATTAGTGGGGCTGCATAAGAGCGGAACATTCGGGAAACGGGAGGGGAGTACACTGTAGGAACCAGGACGAACACAGAAATATAGATAAACTGATGTTTCGTCGCAGTGAAATTATTGCTACAGCGTCGATTGCTCATAATGCTGTACAAGTCAAAGTGCATGCCAGACAGAAAATGGAAGACGTGCAACAGTCAGACGAACTCCATTGGGTTGTTCTATTCAACCTTTAGGGCAGTTCTCGGGTGCTGGATGTATGTATTGTAGATTTTCAAGAGTCCCAAACCCCCGTTATAATGCAAAGCTTTGGCTGAAGATCAACGTGCGAGAGCAAAAGACTTGACAACAAGCGAAAGCTCTATCGACAACGTGGAGGGTTGAAGTACGCAAGGGTCACAAACAGAGGACAGAACCCTAAAATTCGTGTCGAGTATTTCTGGAATTTTGACATGGTGAGAGATTTTGAGTGAATATATCGAATTCCATGATTTCGCTACCAATTCTTCTTCTAAAGTTCTCTTCTTAAGGTTTCTTCTGAGGTTCTCTAAGTCATTGCCGCTCGCAAAACCAGGTGGAGTGGCTTATTCAACCTCGTAGTGGTGCTTTTCTCAGTAGTGCTCGTATGAAGAGGGCTTTTATAATGAGCAAACCCGCCCCCCAAGATTCTATCCTCATTCTCACGCTACAATCCCCTGTTTCAACCCCAAGAAAAAGTAATTTCGACCCATTTCTCCTGAAAAATTCTCCAACCTTGCAAGACAAGACCGAGTCAACCTCTTGGTGGTTCGGCTGGCTTTGAATTCGCTAGGTATTCTCCTCGTCAATAGTCTTCTCCAAAGCTTCCAGAAGGTCAGTTCCAGGACCATGTTGGTGGAGGCGCAGCATAGCCCGCCTGAAAAGACTTGACTGTCTGCCTGTTGGTTGCTCGTTGAGTTTAGACATGAACCGCTGTCGCTGTTCTCTCTGCTTCTCTTCTGCGAGCTTATCGGCCGCCAGCTCCCGAGAATCGTAGTCTCTGACGTTGACTCCGGATTCTTGACGATCGATCTTGCGCCGCTTGGAACGTCGGCTCTCCTCATCTCCCATCTCTCGATTGCGACGGTGCTTCTTAGACTTTTTCGTCTTCTTGCGTTTCTTGTGCGCCTCAGGCTCCTCACCCCCCTCGGGGTTGTTGCACACTCCCCCTCCTTCATGAGTACCCTTGGCGGTGGAGTCCAAGTTTCCTTTCTCCGGCATGTTGGAGTAAACCGATGCTAGTTCAACTGCCTCAACTTTCTCGGTCGCAGTCCTATAGGACGTCTCAAATGCAGTATAGATCGTCTTCGTGTACTCTTCAAAGTCTTCATTGTGCCTAACCTTTTTGTAATTCGCTGCTAGACTCGGCAAGAACCAGCGAAGCACGTTCCAGCCAAGGTCGAAGTTCTCTGGATTTTTACGGACACAGGAAGAGGTCTCCCTCAAGCACCAGCGGCTCAATCCTTTTATTTTGTTTGCGTGTGGGTAAATGGCCTGTAATGCCCAAAATCAGCGTAGGCTTGTGAAAGTTCAGGGAGATTTACTTACGTGAAACTCCTCGATTGCCTTTCCACACTCCTCATACGACACAGGCTCCTTTTGCATATACTTCTGGAGATGAATACTTGAAATCCATGGTGCAGGATTCGACTCCTCAATGATGCTCAGGGCTGCATCCATATGACTTTTGTCTCTGGTTGCCACGTACTCAACGAGATGAGCGTAGACGTCGGTGAGAAGCTTCACGTCACCCGATCTGAGTGTGATCTTCCGGTCTGCAGGATCTGTTCCCTTGGACGTGATGGCACGTATTAGGTCTTTCCACTCAGATTCTCAGCTCTCGGAGCTCGCCAATTCGTCTTTCCGAAATTCTCGGTGGAAGAAGACAGAAGTTCCGCGCCCAAGGTGGAATGCTTTGCAGATTCCCGTCGTCGGGTCTGGGTAAGCAAGTGCGTAATATTTGGCACCCTTCTGTCTTGTCTGCATCCTACAGATGACCTTCAGTGCTGTCTGTTCTGGGCTGAATCTCTGAACCAAACTCGACTGTGGCAATTGAGGAGCTTCCGCGAGTCTCTTGACACTGCACCCCTTCAACTTCATATCCCAACCGGGAACAGTCACCAGAGGCAGATACCATCCGACCCAGACACCCTCGTGCTTAGGATCAGAGCCAGTAGCAATCTCGGTATCCCGAGGCAGGTCAACAGTTCCCTTGATTATCTTCTCGTGGAGATCCTTCTTCAACTGTTCCATGTCTCTGGGCTTCTCCGACAGTTCAGAGAAGCGCAAGACTTGTTCCGTTTGTCTAGACGCACCTAGACCGTCGTCGTAAGCATGCAGCTTGACGGTTCACGCCATGTCGACCGAGAGCTGAGCAGGCTCCATTTCAACGATATCTGATGACACTCTCGAAGATTAATGACGAAGGAAGACCTTGTGAGACGATATGTTCAGGCTCAAGATAATATTAGTAAATCGGTCGTTTTGAAGAATATCTCCGAGCAGAAATTGCAAGATTTGGTAGTTAACTGGTGAAAGTATACTAAGTCGTGTATAACCCCAGACCAGTTGCGTGTAATAATAGACGATAATGAGGTTTTATGTGATTATAAGTAGCATCAAAGTGTATGCTAAGTGTTGGTCTGTATGGTTTCTGTAGACGACAAGTTGTGGGATAGAGGAGTTATTTGTAGGCGGGTTGGGTATTATATATGTGTAGACCTGCTGGATGGGCCAAAAAGGGAAATTACAACTGTACTCTTTCCATTTTCCATAATGTTTCCCTCGCTCTTTCCGCTTACCGCTGTAATATGTAAGAAAGAGGAAGGTACAAGGGTATCACAGGAAAGTACGAGGATATCACAGGAAGGTACGGTGATAGTGTAGGAAGGTACGGGGATAGCATCGGAAGCCCACATGGCTTAGGTAGGAACTACAGACGCTGATGCTTTGGTCTAGGGATCGTTATGTTATAAGCCGTATAACTCATAAACTTTGAGGTTCAATCTAATCGGAGAGTTTGTGTTTGTATATGCGACGCTTGGGTACGATCAGGAGCTAGTTGTTATACAAGGCGCTCTGGTGCTGGGACTTTCTGCTGATGTCTACCATCACAGAAACACCCTAGGTTGACCCAATGGAAATACGGCTCGTTGATCGCGTCCGAGGAAGGTCTAAAGCACTAGCCCCGCTACTTCCTCACTTGCAACCTCCTCACTTGCGGCTGCCTCACTTGGGCCTTGCTCCATTGCGAAGGCGGGCACCTCACAACTTTCTAAACCAACAACTACTTCAATCTCGCACGCTCGTACCATTGAAATTTCTTCCAGCTTCACAACAATTATAAACTTACCCGTGGCCAAGTTGCGCCACCACCCCATTAAATTCAACACCCGAGCCAAGCGTCTCCATTTCTGACATTATGAACAACGGCCAATTTCTCAAGCAGCGCAAAACGGAGTCAGATGATGCCAACATCCACAACACCCACAACCAGGGCATTCGGCACCGTAAACGGGACAACCAAGAGAGCGCGACGAATGAACAGGCGATTACAGCCAAGAAGGTCGATAACGAGGCGAAGAAGAATGCCGATAAAGAGATGCTAGAAAACTTGAAGATGACCTAAGAGGAGCTGAAAAGAATAAACAGGGCGCAAGAGGAAGTGGCCAGTTCCAAGCACCAGTCTACCTCCTCGAGCGACACCGACGCAGAGTCCACGGAGGCCAAGAAGTCGAAGAAGTCGAAGAAGTCGAAGAAGAAGAATAAGAAGAATAAGAAGGGCAAGGAAAGCGAGAAGAAGCGAAAGCGGCGGGAGAAGAAGGCAAAGAAGGACCGCCGAGACGCCGATGCCGACTCTGAGGACGAATGCAAGACCAAGCGGATCAAGAAGGAGAATGACGAGCTTGGCAAGCTGTCCGGTCCTTTGGACGACGCCGAGAGTCTTTACATGCCAGGGATCGACGACCATCGCAGCGAACTTCGAGAACGTGTTTCATGGACGAGCTCAGAGCTCAGCCCAGGGCGATCAGAAAGAACTCTTCAAGCGAGCTAATTCCATATTCCTTGCTCTCCGAGACGATGGTCTCATGGCAGCCCTCAAATAGGCAATCGAGGAGACTCCAGGCTCAAACAGTAGCACTAACTGAGATCATATCGACATTGGCCCGAGAAAATTCAAGGGTAGTCGGGAAGCCTCGTTCATTTCACGTGTTTCTCTAGTCATAGCAAGAGACATCTGAGCCTCACAAGGGAGAGAGGCTGGTAAATCATCACATAGACATTAGAATTCTCAAGAGTCTTCTTTTCATACCATAAATCACTTCTCCATACAGTAATTGTCATATCCCTCGATACTGCCGTGTGGAAGAAAGTATGCATGCCAAGGTTTGCAATCAAAGTATCCATGAAGACGGTCCTCGTCCCCATATCTCATCCTCATATGTGGCACTTAATAAACATACTATCGAGAGTCAGTTCAAAAGACTCATCGTCGATGAAACAAAGATGCTCTACCTTGAAGTACTTGTTCTGCAAGTCCGTCTCGTCTAGGAGACCTCGCTCATACGACTGGTGCTCGTTTTCTCTTGAAGTCGCATGTTCTGACTTCCTAGATCGGTTGCGGAGCCATAGGAGAAACCAGATACCACACAGGCACAAGATCTGCATACCGATGCAGAAAATCATCATTGCTACCCCCAAGGGATACCTCGGAGCCTGCTCGGCCTTGAAGAAGAAGGGGCCGACAAAGTTGCCAAGGCAATACCCGATGAGTAGCATAGCGTTCGTCGTAATCTTCTTAGTGTGTCCAGCGGTGTTGGCTGTGGCGACGGACATGGACAGCGTCCAGGTTGCAGTGTAGGCGAATGAGATCCAGAGGCAGGCAAGGCGACCGTAGGGGTTGGACTGATCAATCAGCCAGAGGCCGAGAATGCCGGCAAGGAAAGGGGCAAGACACATGAGCATGATGGCTATGCGGGCGTTGGGATAATACGAAGCAAAGAAACTGAGTTATGTGAGCATGGGTTGAATGTTCGGGACTGAGAGGCATGCTCACCACGCCAAGGGACAAAGAATTAGTTGAACACCTCCTGAAGGCATCTGAATGAGAGTGGTTTGGAGAGTCGAGAAGCCCATTCCTTTGATCACAAGACCTTGGAACTACAGGGGTATTAACAAAGAGCCTTGGGAGAACGATGTATGAACATACCGTTGTCAACCCGCCATTGGGAGCGTTGCTTGAAACAGCAAACAAGAATAATAGCCAAGTCTTAATGTCCGTCATGGCTTCCCTGAACTGGAACCACTTGAAGGTTTTGTTCTCGACTCCCGTGCCATTACCCTTGACGCGGCTGATGACCATCGCCCTCTCCTTCTCCGACAAGAACTTCGTTGTGAGTGGCGATCCGGGCAGGAACACTAGCATAAGAACACCCCAAGCCACAGTAATTGCGCCCCAAAAAAGGAACAAAATTCGCCAGCTCGCGATGGACCCTTGAACATGACCGATACCAAAAGTCACGATACCCGCGGTGACATATCCCAAGCCAGCAGATCCAATCCAGATACCCATTCGTACGGGTTGCTCCTTTCTTGAGTAATACATTGAAAATAACAACATTGTACCGGGATTAATCGAGGCTTCGAAAGCTCCAAGAAACGTTCTCGTCGCGGCAAGACTGGCGAAGTTATGCGATGCAGCGTGACACATGAGTACAGCACCCCACAAAACAACCGTCGCAGACATGAAGTGGTTGATGGGTAGCTTCTGCAGCAGGACGTTTGTCGGAAACTCCCAGAAGAGGTAGCCCAGGTACAACAGCGCACCTGCCCAGGAGTACTCTGAGCCAGTCAGACCAATGTCCTCGCGGATACCGAAGACGGCGGCATAACTCAGGGTAGTTCGGTCGATGGACTGCAACGCGTAAGTGATGCAAAGTAGCGGCATGAGTCTGAGGTCCAGCCGTCTCAAGAGGGCCGAGCTTTCTTCCGGATCGATAACCTCGCCTTCGGACGTATCGAGGAGTTCGAGGGCTTTGGAAGGCCCCGAAGCTATGAGCTCTTCCTTTTTCGTCATGTCTGTCTTCATGATTACTTCCCTAATTCGTTGTGCCCCTGAAGAAGAAAGAAAAGGGATCGTGGGACCAGTAGTTCGAGCCAGTCAGTCTTTGACGAAAGTCGAAAAACTTAAGACTATATGGCCATCGGCGTGTAAGTGATATGCCTACTAAGTGTGCCTATTCTTCGGGGGTGGCTCCAAGATGTGACAGATAAGAGTGGTTGGTATGGCTGGGGTAAGTGGTTCCTTCCCGCGGAAAACTCTTATCACCGCCTGAAGTCAACCGCGGTCTTGACTTACTACCCCGCGCACAACGCTGCAGTGAAAAGCCGGATTGCCGATTTCTATTGTGGTTGGTACCACGCAATCAGCATTGATGAATACTTTCAAACTAGAGGAGGGTCAAAGGCGAAGTATAGTTCAACAGTAACTCACCCATATGAAAGCAAGCGCTGCTGACAAACCTGTTCTATACGGAACAAAAATGTATCTGACCTACAACAACGTTCACATAGAAAGCAGAAGAGAAAAACTGAGATTTATCCAACTATCATGTGAATTGTAAATCATATATATGGCAAACACCCCGTCTTGACCCCGGATTTGAAGTGCCGTGGTCTCTTAGACATCACTTGTAAGTTCCTTATTTGTCTTCAAGATACAGACCTTCATCCGGAGGCGGAACGCCGTACCAATCCAGGCCTAGTTTATCCTCGGGATCGGGGTCAGGCATCTGATAATACCCGTCATATCTCCACCAAGTCCGATCTTCCCAAACATCCTCGATCGGTAAGACTCCCTCAGCTTTCATCTCATCCCTGATCTTCTCCACGCCGCGCCATACCCTCAAGATATTCTCGCCAGCGACCTTGGCAAGCTGTTCCTCTGTCGCACCGCGGTCAAGGATAGCTTTCAAAAGGTTCGGATAGCACTTGACGTCCTCCAGGCCGGGGATGACAGACGCAATGCCATCAAAGTCTGAACCGAGGCCGACGTGATCCCAGCCAATACGCTCAGCGATGTAGAACAAGTGATCGAGGACCATGTCCATCTTGGCGTCCCTTCTTCGAGTAGTCACATGCTCAGGGACAAAGGTGACCATCACAATGCCGTTGTTGGCAGGGACCATTTCGAGGATATGGTCCGGCACGTTGCGGGGGCAGTCGAAGACGCCTTTGACGTTGGAGTGGGAGAACATGATTGGTGCGCGGGAGAGTTCGAGAACTTGCTTTGCGCAGTCCTCTGAGACGTGGGAGATGTCTATTATCATTCCTGCGGATGAAAAGTCAGACGAAAGTCAGAGTACTCACGGAGGGGGTAATGCCTACCTAGTCTGTTCATCTCGACTACTGCCGAGCGTCCCAGCTTAGACAGGCCACCATGGACTGGCCCAATCTTTGATGTTGAGCTGTCGGCAAAGGCATTGTTACAGACATGAGTGAGAGTACACTCGTAAAGTTAGTATCATGCTACACGAGTCTCATCCTACAATAGGTATGCTTGACTTACGTATCTGACACCCAAACGGTAAAAGGCTCTGATTATGCCGATGCTATTGCCAGCCATGTGCAGTCTGCACGGTATCTCAGTTTCTTGACTTACACAGCTATATACCATGTCGGATACGTACCCTTCGATGCCAATAGAGCAAGCAATCCTGCCCGACTCATAGATTCCCTTCACGTCATCCGGTCCACGCACCAGCTCGAAAGTCTCAGGGTACGACTCAACAAGACGCAGCGTCAGGTCGATCTGCTCGATCGCGTCGCGCGCCATATCCGAGTACTCGGGAGTGGAGAAGTTCTCCGCGGACCTGAGACATGGCACGCAGATGGACCAGAACTGGCCGCCGACAGCACCTTGTGAACGCCGTGTAAGTGGTTTGGGTGAAGGAATCCATGACGCAGGCGAGACTCACCTTCCCTCAACCGAGGGATATCCGTCATGCCCCTCTCGAAGCCATTTGCAAAGTCGAACTTGGGGTTGTTGTGTATCTTGCCCTGGAAACATGCTCGCGGCTGCTGCGGTAAGTCATTATGGCCATCAATGAGAGGTGTCTCGAGAAGGACTCGTTTGACTCGCTCGTCGATGTCGAGTTTTTGATAAGGGTGATCCGCTGGCGCCATGGTTTGAGAGACTGATGCGAGTTTTGCTTCAATAATGACACAGCCTTAGCTTCCAAGTCGACTTCGGGAGGCGGGTTATCAACAGCTCAATTGTACGCGGCAACTGTTGAGTTGTGACCGGGGTTGGGGCGAGGAGTTCTGGTAACAATTGGGTTCCCCTCGGCCAATTGATGCGGATTCCCCGCGCAAAAGGGCGACCCATAGATATGGCCCCATGGTCTGATTTGGCTGCCACGCACTCCGAATCCTTCAAAGATGGGGGATTCGGATAGCCAGGGTTGACCTTGTTTTTTTAAAGCTCAGGTGTTGATAAGAAACAAGATCATCTTATGATTATACGGTAGATCGACCAGTCACAAGCAATACTCTATATAAACGTGAAAGTTTAGTATTCGATGATGAGGCCTGCAGCGGTATCACTTTCAGGCGACCTTCCAGCAAGATAAGAGATATTCGCACACCTACGCAACTCGGCTGATAGTACAGCGAAAAGGATATCGATCAAGGTGCGACACAGACCATAAATAGGAGACCAGCCCAGAAGTGCTGCTTTCCACTATAGCGAGCAATCTAATCAGAATCAAGCTCATCATACAACAAGTGACTGGGAACCGAAAAGGAGCATACATGATAAAACAAAGGGAAAACCAACACAAGGATATAATTGAAATAGAGAAAGTTGTGCTTTCATACTTCATCACTCATAACAAGGAAGGAAAACATCATCCAGCCAAGCTCCCAAATGATTTTGGTAATCTACTTTTTATTTGCTGGCTTTTTGCTGGGTTGCCGCCGGGTGAGGACCTTCATCTCAGGATCGACGACAAGGGTTTTGAGACGATCATCAATATCATTGACGCTATTAATGATAGTACGATCTGGAATGTCGGGTGTTAGGGAATATTCTGGTGTCATCACTTGCAGCCCGGGTACTTACGATGGGTGTCACGAAGTCGCAAGGCATGCTTGAAAGTGTCGGCGAGTGCCGCTTGTTGAGTCCCGCAATCGTCCCAAGAATCTCGGATGCCATCCAGAGAAAGTTTGAGAGAAGCCGATGTCCTGAAATGTGTCGCATAGAAGACTGCAACAGCGTTAAGTAATGGCGTCGCATCGCTCTTCCGCAGAGACGGAGCTCTCAACAAGTCTCGGTAGATGAACAGCAGCTGCCACAACGACGCCCAGACTGCCGGCAACTCGTTATCCGGGATCTTTTTCGGGGAAAGATACTTGTCGAGTGCGCGGAGCGCGTTGCCCTCGAATGATTCAAGGGCCTTTCGTGCAATGCTTCTGAGCTCTCCCTTTGCGAGTAGCGGTAACGTCTTAAGGGTGTTGACGTTCTCTTGGATGAATTCGAAATCCTCCTCACAGCAGATCTTGTACATAATCTTCATTTTGTGAACGTTGTTGAGGAGTTCCATCTTTCAACCGTTAGCATAAGATTGTGCAGCATGGGGCAGGTTTCCATACTTGGGGTCGTCTGGGGGTGAGGGAGCCACCTGAGCGACAGGGAGCGGAGTAATCCTTGATGAAGAGCTCGACCAGCCCTTCAAAGGTGTCTTTGTCTTCGGGAATCACCAAGCTCTCACCCCATCTGACCAGCTCGTCATACGAAGGTACCCCGTTGTATCCTCTGGCAAGAATGCAACCTTGGTAAAGAGGTCGCTGACCATCCTTCGACATGCGACAGTAGTTTTGCAAAGTAGTAGAAAGCCTCGCTCCATTCTGGCGGCGTTTGAACACTACATGACCTTTGAGGATGTTTTCATAGAACTGTGACTGTACAAACCGGAGCGAACCTTTCGCCTTCAACTCGTCTTCCTTATCTAGTATAGCAACTGGTATGTATTAGCGCAAGGTCGTAAGATCGTTGGAGGTCAAAACTCGAGCAAGGCGAAGAAACTTACAACGCGCAGAGGACGAGTCAAGGGCGACACCGGCGAGGTCTTTACGAATGCAAAAGCTCTCTTGGTCCCTAGGATAGGCCCTTTTGCACGTGTCACATGTACCATCAGGTGTGCATGTGACCTTCTGAATTCGGCATCTTGTGCAGGATCCGATGGACCTGACTTGGTTTGTCCTTGACGGGTCCTTGACGATCCGTTTGCTTCCGCTTGGACTATTCGACCGTGGCCTCTTCCTCGTAGGAACTTCAAGGTTTGGCTTTCTTGGGGGTTTGGTGTCTGGTCGATACGGGGGAAGAGGAACGGGTCGTGAGGATTGGTGAGTTCATTGATGCCAGCAGGGACCAAGTCGTCGTTGTCATAGTCTTCAGAGGCAGGGGGGCCATAGTCTGTCAAAGGGGATTCCGGGTTGGACGGCAGTGTCTCGGGGGTGCGGATGGATGATGTCTCTGTTGTGCTTCCAGAGTCATGTAAGGACAGTGGAGTACCATCAGCCATGATGAGGGGAGGGTCTGAGTTGTCCTTGTAGTCCTGAGTATAAAGGTTCCAGTCGAAGCAAAAGTCGAACAGGTCATCCTCACTTAAGACCTGCCCTTGACCGCTACTAAGACCCCGCTGGGTGGTCTGATAAGCCGGTGGGTTGGAGCCTGAGCGTTTTGAATTATGATGCCGGTCCAGGAAATAGTAAATCTCATTTTGGTCGACCTCCATCTTGGTCATGTAAGTCGCTATGAGAACAGGGGTGTAGTACAAGGGCAAACGCGGAGGTCCAGTGCTTCGTCAAGGATTGCGGGAATTGAATTGACGACTTGGGTTGTAGGATGGAAAGTGATGAGGGGCGTCAAGACTTCTCGCACACACCCTGTTATACCACTCCCAGCTGAGGCTCTTCAAGATATCCATAGCTTCGACAACCTGCACGAAGCTCACAATCACTTCTTCGGTGAGAGCCAGGTATATTATTGGTCAATGGCACGATGCGCCCCATATAAGTATGCCAATCAGAGCCCCTTGGTTCACCGAGAATTGCATCAAGTTCATGCTTGGACAAGTCGAATGTCCTCTGGGGTAGTTACATAAGCGAGCTGACGATAAAATCCACGTGCTATAAATGGCGAGTGTCCTACCTGTAGAGACACGGGATTCCGTCGCTGCCTGCATGCGAGGGGTCGATTTCAGGACCCTAGACATGAACATATCAAGGAAGGACGTAGCACGCCATCCATCTTGAAATATGCGAAAACAGGCGATACTTTGACAATCTAACGTTTTCTTGTGCCCCTACTAAACTATAGTTTCTTTCTCTCTTTCATATCAACCTTGTCCCGATATGCAAGACGTGTCACCTGTGTCTCCTTTGGCAACATCTGTAGCCCGAGTCCAGTAGGCGACAACGACCAAGACACGGAGGTCCCACAAGCCATTGCTGGTGGCTTCTTTGTGGGCTTCGTGTCTTACTGCTGGCATGTGTAGTTGGACGTCGCAGCGGCGCCCGCTTTTTTTCGTTTTCCAATAGTCCTGAAAAGGCTCAATGAGAGCGCCCTTGTCGGGTTCCTGGGCCGGAGTAAAAGTTGTCATCTGCAATCGTCAGGCTCCTTCGCGCAAGCAATGCGGACCAGACGACTGGAGAGTTGAAGTCAAAATATCCTGCAGGGAGTCTAGAACATGGCGAAACCAAGAGACAACAAAGAGAGGTGGAACTGATGTCCGACACGGAGAAATTGATTTTGTTGGCGTTCCGTCCCCGGACGTTCGATAGCGGGGCACAACCGGCCAGGAATGGCGGGGTTGAGGTCGCCAACCGTCCAGCTGGCAGCACTTTAAGCTGCTTCCATGTGGGATGGTCCCTGTAAAGGGGACGTGCGCTCCCTGCATTGACGGCCCCACTCAGTCAAACCCATCACACGTCACTTTCTCAACGATTATCGGATCGCGCCATGTTTCCGACCGTCTACAGCTCCGTCGCCGATGCTTGGATTCTCTCCTCCTCCAACAATGCGAACAAGCTGAAGCTATTGTCACCATGGCGCCCAGTCTACTATCATATGTCCCTATCGTCAACCGCTTCGCCTCGGACAGCGAGCAAGCGCAAGCCATTGACATCCCTCCCGTCGAAGTTCACGATGTCGAGACCGATCATGACAGACGAGCCAGATGCCTCAAGCACCTGCTGAGGGCGAACCACGTCAACCACTCCATAATTTACCACAACCTGCAGTTCGACAATCATATGCCGCACATCCTCTCTTCCGCCTACCTTCTCGGCGCAAACGAGCACCAACTGCAGATCATATACGAAACCGAAGCGAAAGAGCTTGAACCATGGAAAGAATCTCCGGCCGAGGTCACCGAGGACGATTGGAGAGACCTCCTAGGGGACAAGACGTACCAGAGAGCGTACCTCGATTTCTTCGAAGACTCGCTGGCCTACAGCTCATACGACTGGAAGAAGGTTGTTGACAAGTTCATGTTCACCGGCGAGGAGCCCCTGGTCCATGGACTCATTGGTGGCCGTACGTACCATTCAGAGTACTGGCGTCGTCGTGCATCTGCTAACCCCTCATGAAGTTGGCCACCCCCTCATCCACCTCGGATACGCATACGAGATGAACTCCAAGGAGATTGCCATCGAAGCACTCGCCCTGACAGCCACGCAATACAACTTCTTTCACAAGTACCTCGACGAGAAATCCTACACAAGACCCTCGCCGTTCAGCTCGAAGTCGACTTTCGAACTAATCGATAAGCTGGCAGGAGACAAGCGTTTTGATGGCTTGTTCAAGGAGCCGGCATTGCATAACCTTGATGTCTTATTCGAAAAGCACGAGAGCCTTGTCCTGGAATACTGGAATGCTTGGACCATCACCGATCCAGTAAAGCAATTCCAAGAATCCCAGGAGCTTGCTGTTGCACTTCTTGTTGCGACGGTACCCCCTGGCACTCACGGATACAATTTTTTCATCGTACATCTCCTTACGACGAGCCATGCAGTTCGCATACTGCTCCCCTTCATTCCGGCCAAGTTCCATATCGGCTTGGTGAGGGAATGGTGGCTTCTGGTCCTTGCTGTGTATATATCTCTCCTGCGACCAAAGATTGATCCTGACAACGTTGAAACGGATCTGAAGGCGCGACACTGGGGCCATGTTGAGCACGAGGCTCTGAATTCACAGTGGGCGACAGACTCTCACTATGTCAAAGGTTAGTCCAGCATTCCGACAATTCTATTGGTGTACTTTCTGACAATTTTGCAGCCATTCGCGCTATGAAGGAGGCGGCCAGGACATGGGGGGATGTACATGAACGTTACCTAGCATCTGCTCTGACCTTCGTTGATAACTACCGTGGATGGGCCTTCTGAGCGTCGAACGTAGTGTGTGCTGCTTCAACGAGGCATGGCTGAGCCGGGATGTCGTTCCCTGACTTATCCCCCGACTAAGCGGATGTCTCGGTGTCATCGTGCGCTTTTGGTCGAGTAAATTGTACAACAACGGCGTATATAGGCATGAGAATGAAACACGAACGTGTAATGAAAGCTTTGATACCTCTTCTTAAGCCGAATGCTAGGTATAAGCCGGTATCACTATGTGACGCTTGAAGGAAAATACTCTAGATAGAGCTATTCTAAAAGTATCTGGATAGCTCGACAGGATATGGCATAGTATGCCAACATGACGATAGTCAAAGGAAGGAACGAGCTTGGTCATTCGTACATTATAAGATGAGAAAGAATTGAAAACTCCGAAAAGATTGAAGGGAAAAACCTCCACCGCTCAAAGTTACTTCGTCTTGCTCCTGCACATTATCTTAAATTGATAGTTTTAAGCATTAAGCGATTTCTTGATAGAGGAAACACAAACAAATAACAGTTAGCGGAGATCAGCCCGGGCTGGTCAGGTACCGCCAATACCGGATGGTCTAGCGACAAATTAGTGCCTAGGTACCCACTGTAGGTAGTGCCCGTCGAAGTGGGGGTCAGATTGGCGAGGCTCCAAATGACGAGGATGCAGCTGCCTTAGCCGCCGACGGCAGGTGCGTGCGTGCTTACTTGGTCGTGCTTTCTCCCATATCGTTTTCAGTTTCTGCATCGCCAACGTCACCAAGAAGAAAGTGGACGCGTCAATTGGTCTGCAACTTTTGCAGAGACATGCGCTCATGTTGAGCTTGTCGACCACCTTTTCATCCAATGGCCCCGCCCGCCAAACGAAGAAGGCGCAACGTCGTCGAGTCCGACGATGAAGACGATGAACAGCCAAAGACGAATACCCTCACGAACTTCCTCCTTTCGTCGCCCTCGAAATCGGACAGCCGGGGCGCTACAGTATCCCCGAGTCCGACGAAATCGAAGCCCAATGCCGCCTACAATAGTCGAGCTGTTGCGACCCCCGCCGTCCTCCAGTCACGAAACGGGCAATTGAGTAAAGGCACAAAGAGCCCGAGCACGAGCCCCGAAAAGTTTAAGGGGAAACCACAGAAGCGTGTCAAAGTGGAAGACAAGGGCCGGAATGGCAACCTCATGACACTGTTTTCCAAGCAGGCGTCAAAGACCAGCGCAAAGCCAGCCGCCTCTTCGAGGACAGTGCCTCTCGACGACATCGTGAGCGACCCGATCTCTGAGGAGGACGATGTTACGGAACAGAAAGCTAGCACGTCGAGCATCGTCGGTCAAAATGCACGGAAAAGGTTTCGAGACAGCACGCCAGTCTCTTCGTCGACAACTGTTGGCTCGAGCCAAAAGTTCCTCAAACCTCCCCGTCCGGCGAGGCCGGCAGCTCTCGACGACGATTTGCGACCCTGGTCGGAACGTTTTGGTCCACTCAACTTGGACGAGCTGGCCGTACACAAGAGGAAGGTCGCTGATGTGAGGAAGTGGCTGGAGGATGTCGTCGCCGGGCGGTTACGCCAACGTCTGCTTCTCCTCAAAGGTGCCGCGGGTTCGGGAAAAACAACTGCCATGAGACTGTTGGCGAAGGACATGGGCTATGAGCTTCTGGAGTGGAGGAACCCAACGAACACTCTCGGCGCACATCTCGGGTATACATCTGCTTCCGCTCAGTTTCAAGAATTCATGAGCAGAGGCGGAAAGTTTGGGCAGCTCGACACAGATATGCCAACCGATGCACTACGTCCAGCCAACGAAAAGTCCGACTCTGCAGGGAAGATCATTCTTATAGAAGAGTTCCCCAATACCTTTTCAAGGTCATCGACTGCCCTGACATCATTTCGGAATACACTTATAGAATATTTGGCGGCGAACACACCCTCACTGACGACCTTTGGGCGACGGTCAACCAGCGAACCCATTACCCCTGTTGTGCTGATCATCTCGGAAACACTGTTGACCACGACATCGGCCTCAGCAGACAGCTTCACAGCTCATCGACTGCTGGGCCCCGAGATTTTGCGGCACCCCGGAACACGCGTTATAGAGTTCAACACCATTGCGCCCACTCTGCTAGCGAAGGCCCTAGAATTAGTCGTGCTGAAAGAGGCACGCAAGTCTGGGAGGAAGCGCACTCCGGGCCCTCAGGTACTGAAGCGCCTAGGCGAAATTGGGGACATCCGCAGCGCGATATCATCTTTGGAGTTCATGTGCTTGAAAGGCGATCAAGATGCGGATTGGGGAGCCAAGGTCGCTTTGTCGAAGCAATCAAAGGGCGCCAAGGCGGGCATTTCTCTCACCAAGGGGGAAGAAGAGACTTTGGAGCTGATATCCCAACGAGAAGCCAGTCTTGGCATCTTCCATGCTGTCGGGAAAGTAGTTTACAACAAGAGGGAGGAGACACCCTCAACAGCAAACTCGGCAGAGCATTTGCCCAGCTATATCGCCCATCATTCGCGGCCGAAGCCATCGGAGGTCTCTGTCGACACGTTGATGGACGAAACCGGCACGGATACGCAGACCTTCATCTCTGCTCTTCACGAGAACTACATGTTCTCTTGCGAGACCGTGCCACCTTTTGACGCCTCGACGCCGCTGGATTACGTGAACGGATGTATAGAATACCTCTCGGAGAGCGACTTGCTTCTTCCATCCTGGGACAGCTTCTTTGGTGGCAGAGGCTCATCTGCTAGCTTCGGCAAGGACTCGGGCAGCCACGTGCTTCGACAGGACGAGATTGCCTTCCAGGTTGCCGTCCGCGGGATGCTGTTCTCTCTGCCGTCCCCGGTCAAACGCAAAGCATCGACTGGTGCAAAGGGCGCAGACGCATTCAAGATGTTCTATCCGACCAGCATCAAGTTGTGGCGGACAAAGGAAGAGTTTGAAGCTCTTGTGGACGTCTGGTCTACGAAGCTCATGAAAGGAGAGGAGACGGCGCCGCGCAAAAGTCTCACCGAGGGAGCCAGCGCGTTCCGTCGGCCCAAGCAAACGGACGTGGGCAACTGGATGGCTAACCACCAATCCAAGCCCAAGCCGGCCAACGAAAACGCAAAGACTGATGCCAATGCCGCGCCGCTGCTTTCTTTGGGGAGCGCAGCCCGGAGGGAGATGCTGCTTGAACGTCTACCGTACATGGCCTCCATCGTCCGCGGACGCCGGTCAACATTGCACTCTTTCAAGCTCAAGGACCTCGAAAAGGTTGTTTCATTCCAAGGCATCGGCCCACAGACGGGTGACGATGATGACCAAGCTGAAGATGCGCCGGAGGATGGAGTCATGACGGGCGATGCGTGGGCTACAGACAAGCCGTCAGAAGAGGCCTCGCCGCGGAAGAAGAGCTCGGCCATTCGACATGCAGGAGATGGGTCGGTGGCTGGTCTGCGTGTGCAGAGCCTGGTGATCAGCGATGACGATATCGAGGACGATTAGAAACACCGGTGCGGTCAACTGGTGTAGGACATTGTTGTACAGAACGAGGACTGGGTAATGGATGCTTTGTGATCGACTGGGCTTTGCGGACATGGAGTCTGGTGGGAAAACTGGACGCGCTTGATGTCGCATTACAAATGAGCTTAGAGGAACCACATATAGATGACGATGTCCCGTTCCTCATGAATAGATGCCGGTCAAGAACATTGAAATCGGTCCGCTGCCACATATTCCTTCCTGTATCCAGGATTTGAAAGACTTCGCAAACTACCCTCGAGCTGTATGATTATTTGCTTGCTCATCGCCTCGTCATCCGTCTCTTCCTCTCAATATATCAGAGTCTTTTGGTCTAGTACCGCCAAGTCTCGACTTTGGCCCATTCATAGAACATACGAATTCAGATTGGCAGAATCACTTAGAACTCGCCGGGGATGGCATATATTCCTGTGTTTCGTGTCCGTTTTCTTGAGTTGGGCTCCAGCTTTCGAAGTCAATGTAATCCGCCTCAGTCCCGCTTTCCCCATTTCCCGTACATGTTATGTCTAACATCTACAAGATGATGAAGGAAAGCACCGTCACTTCTTCTTCAGAACGAGATTCCATCGACGTCAACGGTGTGTTAAATCCCTTGTGGTCGAACTTTGGCAGTCGAGGATGGGCACCTCGTGGCAAACTGATGCAGGCCAACCACGATCCCCTCGACATTCCGAGTAACAGTCAACAAAGTATAACATGTAACTTTTTCCCCTCCACACGCGAATCGGTGGGGACTGGTCGCTTCGCCCTTGTCCCTTCCGTGTTAAAGAGGGCTTCTCACAACTCGCCGGTAATGCTTCCGTGCTCATCATTTTCACTATGATGCGACTGTTCTTGTTTCATTTTCGTAGCCTACTCATTCTCCTACGTTTATCCAAACATGAATACTTGAAAAGGAAGGGCAGATCAAAGAGACGGGTTGATGGCACCCTGGAGCAAGGGTTCGACGGCTTATGAAGCTTTCTTGGCCAATGAAAATAGAAACACAGACTTACTGGACGACGAGGCATGGAAGAACCGTGTGCTCTTTTGAGAAAGAAGGCAAGAAGGCCTAGAATTTCGGCTTGGATTGTAGGCTTACATTAGATGCTGTTTGGGCTAAACCGAGTTTGTAAACCAGCAACTTTCTCACATGAACGCCAGCAGAACTGCTACGAAGGGCGATGCTACGAAGATATTGCTGGTAGACAAGCCAGACAGATAGCTCAAGATCTCCCCAAGAACGCATAGTCAACCAAGGCCTTTCAAAACGTCTGACTTCCAACGTGACGAGAAGCATCGACAGGCAGATGCCTCGGAGCTGGGCCTCGCTTTACCCCAAGGCAAACAGCCCAGGCGACGTACTATTCAGTGCGCCACCGTAAATCTTACACTGGCACAAGGAGGAAATGGTAGTAGAGACGTCGGTACAGAGATCTTCGGTGCCTCCGCGACCTCGTAATATCAGGCGTTGAGGTTGACACCGTGACTGGTTGTCAACTGATGGCCAGAGATCGATCGTGCCTGCAGTCGACCAACAAACCGAAGCCAGAATGTACGCTAACTAGCATCTCGACAAGAACGTCAAGCATGCTCGGCTCGTGTCTTATTAGCCCAATACGGTCGCTGATTGTCCAAACAAAGACCCGATCCCCGGGTCTCAACCGCCGACTGATGGATCGGCATAGCTCGTCCATCAGCCGAGACTACCTCTCGAGGCAGCCGCATCATCCGGCGCAGTTGTCGTCGATCTTGACTTTTCCGAGCGGGCCTGCTCGAGCAGAAATTACCCCAAGAGACGTCGAATTCCTTCGGTATCCCTTTCAATGACGAGCAACTCATGATGGCCCACTAGTCTTCCGCCCCCCGTCGTCGGGTTTGAGGCACTCAGAGAGTGGCACAGAACACTACTCTTGTACGACATGGCACAGGAACTCGCGTAGAACACGCGGCACGGCGGCAAACATCCCCCCTTGCCTCCCCTCCCTCCAAGCCTGGGGCATGTCTCACCGACCTTTTTTTTGGCCCCCGCCGTCCGGGGAGATGTGTCAAGAAGGGAGAGGCCAAGGCAAGACTCCTCAAGTACATGGCATCAGGGCGGGCATCAGCAGATAAGGCAAGGTTTTTTTTTTCTTCTCGCGCGACCCCGGAGCCCGGAAGGGCGTGTCTTCATCGCACGCCAGCAGCATGCCAAAGACAATCCAGATCATTCCCCGCAGGGAAAGTGCCGAACTTTGTACAATGCTCAAAAATGCTGGCGTAGGGGGGGTAAAGGCAAGCTGAGAAAGATGCCAAACCTCCAGCCGCGCGCCCCTTCTGGCTCGTCATTTCTGTGCGACGCACGCTTCCCATGCCGGTTCGCCCATTGGCCAATCCCCTTTCTCCCGTAGCTTCCTCCACACGTTCTTCGTCTCCCCTCCAAGGCCCAACCCCCCCTCCCCCGGTGAAGGGGTACGGGCGTAAAAGACTCGAGGAAGCCGTACCCACCCCGGAACTCCAAGTGTCACGATGCCGGCACACCACAAGGGGGGGAAAGGCTTCTATCCCTACTAAAAACAACAACACAGTAATCTGGGATGGAAAACCTCTCGCCGACTTTTTGTGCCAGGCCGGCCGCGTACGGAAGCGATCGATCGCCCAAGGAACCTCGCCCAAGCTCCCCCAGCTCTTCCAGAGCCGCCTAGCCCTTCCGTGGCGCCCTTGGCGCCGCCGCTAGGCCTTGCGGCCGGCCCTCGCTTCCCAGATTCTCATCGGTGATGGATCTCCCCCCTTTTGCGTCAGCGCACATATCTCGGGTCCAACCACGCGTGATCTTACGCAGCTCTCTCTCTTGGTAGGCTCGCTTTCTTGGTGCTATCTGCTCGGATCCCTCTTAGCTCGCGTTGGCTGCGTCCCGGCTTACTTACGTACACTATCCACTTCCAGGTTCTCTGAGCCACACCGGCGACGCATCTGGCCCCCGAAACGGTCCATGGGGTACGGGGCGGGGGAAATGGACGGCTTTCCTCCCGAGATCATCGCTGCACGCTGCATGTAAGTAAGCAGGCGTGACAGGGCGTCATATGCATCATGTAAACAAAAAAAGAAAACCCATGACATGGGGGCTTGGCTCGGACGTTGGCCCCCAAACCACTGACTGGCCAGCGTTTTCCCCCGGCGTCCCCAAAACATTTGGGACAAGAAGAAAAAAAGGAAAAATAAGGATCTACGCATCTCTCCAGTTTGTTCTCCGTTTCGCCACGTCCTCCACATCCACCTCCACGAGGGGGGGGGGGCTCCACAGCCCCAAATGCGACGCCAGCCCGAGTCTCCAGGTTTTCTATTTACCGCCAAGTTTTTTTTTTTGGTGCTCCAGGACCCTGATTTGCGGTGGGCTTCTTCTTTCTATCTTCCTCCACCCTCCGATCCACGAATCTCGTCTGGGGTTCCGTTTCGGGGGCGATCATGCTCTCATCGTGCATTATCTCGACGTCCCCGGGCGACTTCCCGTCCCTCTCTGCTCCTCCTCCTCCTCTTCCTCCCGGGCCATCGGCGACCACCCTTTTCCCGCCCTGCCTCTCGTTACTCTTTTTGTAACATGGCGCCGGGTGCAGCCCGTAACCTAAAATCCGCCCATCTCCCTCCAAAACCTCGTCCGACCTCCGCTTCCGTACGGAAGCGTACGGAAGCCGATCTCCCCCCCACGGCAGCACCGACTTACTCGAGCACGCGAGAAGATGAAGTGGTCGATTCAAGCCCCTTGCCCCCGTCCTGAACCTTCCCTAATGCCACATGTTAGCCGCAGAAAGTCAGATAGCGTTCGCGAACGATTCAGGGCAGGATAAGAAATTTGACAATCCGTCTCCGCCCGAAGCTTGTGAAGTGGACCGTCCGTGACGGGCGGTGGAAAGGCAAAACTTTCCCGTCCGTGATGGGACCCTTTTCGAGCCCCGAGGATGCGTGACTCTTTTTCTTTTTGGTGCAGAATCACGTCAAATTGATAGGTTGTCGCCGGGAAACCCTGAGGCGCCTCCGTCCCACTTCCTGCGCAAAAAGAATGGCGTATCTACTCTGTCGTCCCGCCACAGTCATCACCACCACCACCACTACCACCATCATCGTCGTAACACCCAACACCCGTCAGCGCAAGCACCCTGATCGCCTTTCCGTCCCTACCTCACCGTATATCTCCTCCCACAACCTTGCAAATCCAACGTAAGCCCGTCTCTCCTCGTCCTACCCCCCCCCCCCCCCCCCCCCCCCCCCCCCCCCCCCCCCCCCCCCCCCCGGGGAACACACAGACGCCTCTTGACAACCAGCACACTACCCTCCTTGATCTGTTGCGTAACCGGCGCGCGCGGACAGAGAGAGATTGAGTGCGGCACGGGCGATCTCTGCCCGGGGAGGGGGGTCTCCAAGGGAGCCTCAATATCAGCCGCATTCCATCCCACCTTGGAGTCCTCTTCCGCTCACAGAGGTGCCCAAGGCACACCACATTGAGACATAGGGAAGCCTAGGCGCCCACCCCCAGATAAACCCACGAAACCATCCCCCCCCCCAGGGGGAAGGGGGAAACCTCCCCAAGGGAAAGTGAGGAAGCATTAAAGCACGTCACAACAACCCCTACTGCCGGCGCGCGCCCCATACGAACACACCATGTTCGCCCACCTTGGCCCTTTGGGGCCCTTTTGGGCCTGTTCGGACTACCTAGAATGGGAAACCATCAAGCACACACCCTTTTCCTCACGCATATGCGTGCGGACATGCGCCTTATCAAGACGCCAATCTTCTTTGCCTTCATGGCGGTCAAGCCAGAGAGAGAGAGAGAGAGAGAGAGATAGCCCGCCCATCCCTTGCTTGTAGGAGAACCGTGGAAAAAGCAAGAAACCGAGACACTGGCATAGTTGATACATGAACCCACGAGGTCAACGGCTGACACCATGCACCACCCGAGGGTGCACTAGGTTCACCGCAGCAGAGGCAAGGTATTAAACAAAAATATGTTGTTCATGAATTGGCATTTTTGCCACGGCGAGTTCATTTGCTCGAGCCTTTTACTGCCTTCTATATACCACGACCCAGGTCTCGTGCCATTGCCGTTTTGGTGATGCATGGGGGGCCATCTAATCCCGGCCACCCCATGCATACCTTGATCCCCAAGCTTTCCTGCAAGCCATCGCAGCCAAAGGGCGCTGGGCATCTCCCCGCCAGCAGCTCAAACCCTACACGGGTGAGACACGCAGTGCGGAGAAGTCCTCATGGCCGCAGCCACAAAGCATCAATGTCCAACTCTCGCGAATCATGCCTCTCTCTGGTGCTAGAACACCACACGAGATTGCACACTAAGCCCGATGACCTGGCCCTCTTCTTGCTAAAAATAAAACAAGACAAATCATTTTTCTTTTGTTCTCCGTCCTCTTTCCCAATGCGCCGTTGCTGAAACCTAATTCCTGGACCCAAATGGTGTCCTAGATCATGTTGATGATGACCAACCAAGTACCCAAATTCCCCAAAATGATTGTTACAAGCGTGTTCCGTGTGTATCGTCATTAGAACCCCCACGCAACATTCCAGTTGCCACCATGAGGTGGGTAATGACCAGGCCTTCACCATACTTCGCTCACCGAGAGCGCCGGTGTCCCGCCATGTACCATTCCGTGTTGGTCCCGCGACCAAATGTGATGAGCCGTCGATCCGCTGCGTGAAAATGCTCTTCCTTGTGCGGTGTTGTGATTAAGCCGGAAACCCTCCATGAGCCCGTTCGCACGAGCCTGATTATGTCCTCGCAGCGGCAGTTGAAGTGCCAAACGTTGTCCGTCCTCCGTATGGCAGGACAACATGTCCTGGGTCCCCCCGTATCGTACATCCACTGTAAACTGCTGTCGATCCGTGTGGCGTCCGAGGTTGGTGATGGAAAGAGAATTAGGGGCCAACCTGTCACTGCCGACCTTCCCTCACTTCCTCCACCCCACGTTCCAAATGACATGAGCAATATCCCGGGCTGTATTAACTGTATCAATGACCCGGCCGATGATGCCTTCGTTGGAAGATGATTCCCCCTCTTCATATGGCATGAACATACCTGACGAGGTCCGACGCATGCCAGCTGGTTCGGCGTTCAGACTGTTGGTGGACGATGATCGTTGCAGGCCTGTCGATTTGTCGTCGATTTTCGTTGGTGACTGCCAGCCCATTGATACTGCTTCCTCCTCTTCGTCGTCTTCATCATCAAAGAAGAACTTTCCGGACCCTTTAGAAGGTCGGAGGGTTTCTTGGGAGGATGAAGGAGACATTACGGGACTCCGGTACGAGGTGCTATGCTTCATCGCCGTCTCTTGCGGCTCGGGTGTGTCTTCGCGATACTTGAGGGTGGTGGACGGTAGCATGGCAATGGTCTTGCCCTCGGTGGCCGCTGCTATCTTTGCTGACTTCTTCCTGAGGAGAGGCATCTTCTTCTTAGTTCGTGACCTCTTCATCATAATGGCGCCCTCGTCAGAATCGCTGTTGTCGTATCGCTCAGTACCGGCGTCTTCGTCATCATCATCGTCGCCCTTGATGTCGACTGCAATGCACTGCGAAACCTGCTCGTTGAAGTGGATGTGTTTCTTCTCACTGCTGGGCGAGATGATACCGGAGGATGTGCTGGAGGGGCACAAGTTGGAGCTTTCGCGGCTCAACCTCCTCGACGAGAAGGGGAACGTAACGTAATCCGTAGTTGCTCGTTCCAGGGTTGGTCGGGCAAGACGTCTTCGACCATCCTTTTCTTGGGCCTGAACCGCCGCTGCCGCCTGCTTCAACAGGGAAGAGGCGGACAAAGACCGCTGCAACATGACCTCCGACATGCTCCTCTTTTTGAGGATTGGCTTCTTGTTGACAAACGAGTTGTTCTTGGTGAGTCTGGCGCTGTTTGGATCCGTAGTGATGGGGTTCAGGGTGTTGGGACCAGTCTGTAGGGGTCCGTAAAGCCAAGTCACATCACAATCTTTCAACCTGCTGAGAGTTAGTGGTGGGTAGTTAAGGTGCGGTATGACTACGAACCAGTTGAGAGTCTCTGGCGAGACGGTCTTCAGTTTGTTTTTCGCCTTCATCCAGGTTCTCCAAGACGCGTTCTCGAGGCGAGCGGCATTGCTGTACTCGGCTCTCCGAGCCACGATAAACTTCCACGACGACCAAATGTCCTCCTCTTTCCAGTTGTGCGAAAGATAGTCAACGTGACGCGAGGGCTGTGCCCGAACCGCCGTGTCGTCTTCTGCGTGTTCTACATCAAGAACGAATTCGGGTGTGTTGGGCCTCGATGTGTCGCCCTCAGTGTCGTTGTCAACCGGCGAGACTGTATACGAGTCACCCGTCTTGGGGCTTGTTGGTGGTTCCAGATCTTCTGGGTGGTTGAAGTAGTCGGACTCTTCGTAATGGGGAAATACAAAATGGTCGTTGGCGTGCACGGCGAGGTCTAGTGTGTCGTCGCAGTCGGAAGCGATCGAGACATTGCTCGCAGGGGTTGACGAGCACGACAAGTCGGTGGATTCGGCATGGGCGGTCCTGGGAGACGACGGGGCAGAAGACGGCGCAGAGTCTGGATACACCTTGGATTCCACGAAAGCGTCGCTGATATGGCTGGCCGAGGTTGTTGAAGAGTGGAATCCGGACTGTTTTGTAACGAACTTGGGCTGCGAATGCGAGCGTCGCAGGTTGGAGGAGAAGTAGGTGTTCTCCTCTGACGATAGAACGACAGCCATTGTGAAAGTGTATGGGCGAATTGAGGAACGTTAGTCCCTAGTCGCCGCAACTCCAGTGCAGAAGCAAGCAAGTTCGGTCATAAAGTCTCGGTTGATTTGAGGTGGAATTGTTGTGTTGTTGTAGGTGGGTAAGTGCAAAGGTATGGCAGCAGGTCGTAGATCGTGGACCAAGGAATCGGGATCGGGGCGACAGCTACGCAAAGCAGAGAGGGAAGGGGGGGGGGGGGGGGGGGCTGTCTGTTTTGACGGATGACGGTCGGTCCCCTTTTCTTATTCGTTCTACACCAAGCCGTTGGTTGTACCGTGCAGGTTTTCGGTGGCTCAGGACCTAGCGCGGTGGCGTCCCAAGAAACAAAGGCGGTGACTGGAGCGATTCGCGGGGGATTCGCCAGTGTGAAAAAAGGCGGAGAAGTTGTTTAGATCAGGTGTGGTATAGTGTAGTATAGAGTAGGGCGGCCTAGAAACGGAAGAGCAGAACTGGCTGGCGCTGGCTTGGACTGACGGAGAACGCGTGTGAGGGTCAGTGACGACGGTCGAGGATAGGCGATGGCAGAAACAGATATCGCAGCATTTGGAAACGCAAGCGGGTGTCAAGAACTGGCCGACTCGGCGGCAGCGGGAAGAGGTGCGGGTATGAGTAGGATGTATATATTGGTTCGAGTCGGGTAGGTGGAGAGGAAGAATAAGAAGGGCAGCATTCGAGGGAGGGGATGGGCGGAAGGGAAGGGTTGGTAGATGTATCCCGAGGTGTATGGAGTAAGGGTACGAACTAGGTATTTAGTCGACGACGACTTAGGTAACAGACAGTGTAGCAAAGAGGAAAAGGTAAAAAGCAAAAAGAAGAAAAAACTACCGGGTAGAGAAGGAGAGCAAATGGAGCCAGAGGAAAGCGGATCGAGAAACTGGAACGACAACCGGCACGTTCGAGCCCAGAAGTTGATTGCAAGTCTCGTTCTTTCGCCCGCCTAGTGGAGTCCCTCGGTGGATTAGGAGGAGAGGCAGGAGAAAGAGTGGGAGACAGAGACACACGGCCAGGGCAAGAGACGACAAGGCAAGAAGGGCAGGGGGGGGAGTACGGAGGAGGTACTGGAAACCCAGGGTGGGGGGTCCAAGTCCAAAGGAGGAGGGGGCAGAATGCAGGCAGAGGTAGAGCGAGAGAGAGAGAGAGAGGAGAGAGCGAGAATGGGAGTGAGTGAGTGAGAGGGGCGTGGGAGATGACGGTCCGGGGTGTGTGGGAGACACAGAGTTTTTTTTGCCTTTGCGTCTTATTATTCGGGAAAGGGCTCGATGGTGCAAGCAAGGGTGATGGTGGGCAAGGAGTTGTAGGGGGGTGCAGGGGGGCCAGGTTTGTGTGGAGAAGACAACGAGAACCGGCTCGGATTGGAGGGAGAGAAAGCCAGAAGGTGAAAACGATGTGATTCTGGACTTTTGGCTTGGGAATGGACTGAAGTGTGGACCTGGATTGGATTGGCGAGTCTGGGAGACCGGACAGGACGACTGGGAGAGACGGACTGGAGACGCTCTGGGGATGAGAATGGGCGATGTGTATGGGGACTGGGACGTGGACGTGGACGTGGATGTGAACATGGACCTTGGCCGGGGAGAGGGACCGGGGCTCTACCAGCGAGAAAGCAGCAAGTGAATGTGCGGTTCTGTTGCGATGCGCAAAAAGTACTTTGCCATGGTCCGGCACGCCACTAGGTACTTCGTGTACAAGGTGGCTCCTTACGTGCGGATGGCATGGCCTGGGGAGGTACGTACTCTGGCAACTGTGTACGATGTACACTATGTCGTGTACACTAGGTAGGTACCACCGGTACAAGAGACTGAGGAGTAGACCGGTGTAGCTTCTGTGTGGGATGGGCCGGTTGGATGTACGCAGCATCCGTTTCGCCAAGTAGATGAAGAGACGGATGCAAGAACAGAGTGAATCCAAAGCAAGAAAAAGGTATCATGCAGACTGAACGCAACAGAAGGGGGAGCAGGACAGGGAGCGAAAGAGAGAGAGAGAAAGAGAGAGAAAGAGAAAAAGAGAAAGAGAGACGTGTGGAGTGTACCAAACAGTGGTGGGAGTAGCTCGACGCAACGCAACGCTACGCTATGCTGCGCTGCGCAAGCGTTTATCAGACCTGCAAGCCAATGCACGCACCCAGCATGCAAGTGTGGCAGCTTGCAGCCAGACCGACAACTGGGGTGCAAGTGGGAGTGGCTCGAAGGAGGGGGAAGAGATTCGAGGTGCAGACGCCAAAGGGTGCAAGAGGGAAACAAGTACACCGGTACCTACCTCGATGCTATTTGCCCGATTTTGTCCACCGACGCGGTGATGATGGGGGAACCACTCCCGGGATGGAAGGTTCGGGGACGAAGCATAATATATATCTGTATGGTGTTTTTGTTGCTGCAACTTGCCTGTCCGCAGCCAGGTATGCAAGAGTGAACACGGACAAGACACAAAACGGCGAGGCGGCGCGGTTGAACGCAGCGCGCAGTGTACGGTGGAGTGATTGGCCAGAGAGTCGCACGGCAAGGAATTCGCAAGGAGTCGTCCACCAGAAACGAGGAGACCAGGAGGCGGGATAATGCATCTTTCTCCAGATTCAAGGGACGTCTCAGATGGTAAGAGCAACCCTAGAGTCACTCCCTCGGGGACACAAGGGAGACCAGAGCTATCCCAAGCACGGACCGATGCCGGGCAGCCATTGAACAGCCTGCGTGGCAGCGGACGGGATAAACGAGAGACACGCAGCATGATCCGGGTCGAGGAACGGTTAAGGCAACTTGAGGGAGGCGAGCCAAGTCAAGTGCGAGAGGCGACGGAGACAGTCTGCTGTTGATCGTAAAACACCGCTTCGTGCGTTTCGTGGGGAACAGACACCAGAGTCTGGATAACCCAAAAAGCTGGAAAAATGTGTGCATGCCAGTGCTTCAGGAGACTGACACACCAAGGCGGAGCAGGGAATGGGCGCTGATTGTTCGGGACCAGAGCAGAAAGAGACCGTGTGCGTGCGAGACGCTCGTTCAACACTGTGCCTAGACCGAGGAGCACGCGAAATGCGTCCGGTGAGGCGTTCTGGGGAAGTGGAGGTCGCAATCCCCGGAATGCGTCGACACATTGGATGGACGACGAGGGAGCAGTGCTAATGATAGCACCCGAGCGCGTGCAGACGGATGGATCCAACAAAGTGCGCCCAGCACAAACTGTAGTTGAGCATAGGCACACACAAGGTGACGAGATGATGATACATGCCCCAATCAATACCATGATGTACCTGGAAAATGAGCGTCGGAATGACGGCCAAAGAAGCGAGGCTCGCCGGCGATCTCTAGGTCATTTGATCTCTGCCCTTTAGCCGTATACAGGCCATGAACACCCGGTTAGGTGACCCGCGTTCCTGACATAAAGACCCCGACATGGAGACGTTTGTCTCTTAGCCGAACCACCCCAGGTATAATCCATTCTCGCAAGGCAAAGTGCGTGAGACACGAGTCTGGTTTGCCAGGTGGGACAAACGCAACCGAAAAGACCAACGTCTCTTCGAATGCTTTGATATGGATTCGACTCTTGTCCTAGGTCCTGTTGGGTCAATTCTCTATACATAATGCGGCCCTCGCAGGCTGATATGCACCTTGGCTTGATAAATTCAAGCACGGTAAAGCCTCGGTGACAGAACCAAAGGCACTCCGCGTTCGATAGAGCGAGAACGAATAGGCTGTGATAGTCGCCAATGACCCTGATCAAGTTATTTTTCACAGTTGGTCGGACGCCTCAATGTCTGAGGGCTCAAGGCAGGGCCAATTCCTAACCCCAATCCGATTGCAGCCCAGGACATGCCAGGCAAGCGAGGACGAAACAGGGCCCCGTTGCCCGTTTTTCGGTACGTTCGAAATTGGCAAGGCGACAAGTTGGTTCCAATGACAGGGGGCTGTCGGCAACATCCTAGCAGGAAGGCCAGATGGAGTTTGGTAGGGTGATGTTTTCAAAAACTTTTTTTTCCTTTTCCTTTTCGCGTCCCGGTCAACTTCCACGTTGCCATGCCCACTAACATGGTCCCCGCCTTCTTAGTCGAGACCTTTCGGATGGCAGGGGCAATTTTCGCAGCGCCTTCTGGTCTCGCCTTTGGGTTATGGTGTCTGTGTGTCCGCGGGTTTTTCGTCTTGGGCCTTGCCGGTTCCTTAGGCTACAGGTCGCCGGTCTGCTCGACGGGATTACCGCTCAGGCCGAAAGACCGTGTGGCCCAGGTGGAGTCCAAGACAGGAGTGAAATGGATGCGACAGTGGGTGGGCAGGGAGGGAAAAGCAACAAATGAAGAAGGCCAAAAGCTGATATCAGGTTGACGAATGTAGTGCGAAGGAAATCAAGGGTCTTTGGTGCGTTTGTATCAAAGTTAGTTTGTGTGCGCCTGTGGTTCTTCCGCACCCTTCGCTTTGAACTCTGGCGCAGGGTTTTATCTCCGTTTCTTCTCCTCGGGTATGCAAGTCGTGGGGCTTCCCTTGCTGATCTTACGCCATCGGATGGTCCAGACAGAACTTATAAAGATTTCGGAGTCGAGCAAAGTCGGTTGATATCGGCCATGGGCCATTGGCTAAATCGCTGGTGTTGATGTAAGTAGCAGCCGACATGCAGTGACTTGGAGGTCGACGCTGAAAGGTGGATCTGGGACCGCACTGGAAGTCAACAAGGGCGTCTTTGCGGTGTGTTACATGTTCGCCGCTTCGCAATGTCCTGCTTCCCTCTCCCTGGTATATTTGTACGGTAAGGAGGAGGCGACGATCAGCGCCTCACCTTACTGCGTCTGTCGGCAAGGCAGGCAGGCGCTGTGGCTGGCAGGTAAGGTGAGGCAAGTGTAGAGTGGGAAGGAAAAAAAAGAGGGCAGGGGCGTGTGTTGGAAAGAGTCGTCGGTCCCAGCTGTCCCACAATTTCGCCGCGACGATATGGGTCTTGGATGCGACTGCCCCACACGGTGACTTGCGCATGACCGGAACCTTTCCCCGGGTCGACA